GGTTGAAAATGGCCAGTCTGGCCATATTCTGGACTAATTTAAGCGCCTTTTGAAGATTTTATTGATGATGCTGAAAACTTAACGCAAATTTTTTATATGATTGTACGGTTTTTTTGGTTCGGTCAAAAAGTGGTATTTGGAGTGGTACTTTTTTTTCAGTCAACTTTCGGCGATCAAAATAATAGCTTTTGACAAATTTTTTTTTACCCCATTGATATATTGCCTACTTGAAGGCCATTTGAAAAACATATTATACCTCCTATCATTTTTTGCTAAGTTTTGAGAGGTTGAAAATGGCCAATTTTTCATACTCTGGACTAATTTAAGCGCCTTTTGAAGATTTTATTGATGATGCTGAAAACTTAATGCAACCTTTTTATATGACTGTACGGTTTTTTTGGTTTGGTCAGTTATGAACCAAATATTGTATATTTTACTTAATTTTCGTTTCGGTTTTCCAACTAAGACGTACAGAAAAAAATATTGCACTAGGAAACTAAATTTCACCACAAATCAATGTCATTTAAATTTATGTCATGTGACAATAAAAACAAATGGTAGATCAATGATTCACAAAATGAATTGGATTTTTTTTCAAGCGGACCAATCACAGCCTAGATCATATTTGTCAAGGCATCGCGCGACTCGGGTCGTTCAAAAATTCATTAAGCAAAACCAAACCAAATTTCCAGTTTCGTTCGGTCGATTATTAATTAATAAGTTTTTGGTCAACTGTTCGGTTTCGATCAATTAACCGCACAGCCTTAATTAATTATGCGAGGCGAATTATCCCACATAACAAACTCCTTCCAAATTTCCAGAGGCTAGCTGCCCGGTCGTATTATTTTCATCTGACTCAAATTTCTACATGTGATCTTTCGTGTGCAAAGTTCATAGTTTTTCAATATTTTCTTTTTCCAAAAAATATTAGACGGGGAGTAGGGGGCAGTCGGAACAGTACTGCTCATATTATAAGCTGATCCTTCAAATGATGCTTATCTAGGATTACATAGGATAATGGATGCAAGCAATTTTCGCTAAACTCTATATCAAATGTGACAACCGGGGTCATATTTTCTTCCTTTTTTCTATATTTTCAACTTCCTCTTTTTGTTGTTCAGGTGAAGCGATTTACCGTGATCTTGAAACAAACGCAAATAAAATCAATGTTATAAGTTTGTTTACCTACGTTGTAGGTAAATGATTTAGATGGTGAAGCAATTTCCGCTAATTTATCAATTTAATCAAATTAACAATTTCACTTCTAACCAAAAAAGGAAAAATACCTATATAACAAACACTAAATTTCTGACTGAAAAGGTTTAAAATTAGACTTTGATGAATTTCAGCAAATGAACTTTAATCTAGCTATACTTCCTACTTGGTAAACTTTCTAAATTTGAGGTGGGTGAGAGCAAAGCGATTTCCGCTGAACTCTCAAATTCATCTCTTATCTGTAAAATTAGTACTTTTTCTCAAACTGAGCAATAAAATCAAATCAAGCAAAGCATGCAATGCTCAAATATCTGTTTTTTTTCTTTGTTTTCGAATCTTAAACAGAAGAAAAGTTTTTTTTATATGTCTTTTGCAGTTTTGAACAAAGACAAACACACAAGAAGTTTTTTGCACATTAAATATTTGCAATTTCTTGCGACAAAAACTTTTAAAAATAACACAGCTCCGGATGATTGGCCATAGATTTAAACCAATTTAAACCGAAATGCTTTTTCTACAAAATATACGCTCTCTTGGAGCAAATTATGATGAATTGGATGTACAGCTTTAGCAACAAAACTTGAAGCTTTTTTTGTTGTTCTAACAGAAACGTGGCTGAGGGACACATCTAAACTTAAAAGTTTCTGCCAAAATGATAACTACATGTAACAAAACCAAAAGTAGGGGAGGAGGAGTAGCAATTCTTTCTAAGGAAAAAAAACGTTTTAAAGATTTTGAAACGTGCAGCCTCAAAAAAAATCAAATTATTGCGGTCTCGACGATCTGTAACAAACAAAATGCATTTTACAATTCGCCCAGTGCAAAACTTAAACCTTTCCCTGAAATTTTTCGACCCATATTTTTGATTTAAAACAATGACACTAAAGACAAAAATATAATAAAGGGAGACTTAAACACTGATTTATCTTTTGTGACACAAGATAGAACGCAACTCTTTGAAAAAATGGAACTTCTTGATTTTAATCTGATATCTGGGACAAATGACAGCGTGCGTGTTACACAGAATTCTCGAACACCTACAGATTTGATCGTTGCAGAACTTCCATGCACCAATAGAAATTTTGAACACGCAATCACTGATCGTTATGGCGTTGAAGTTGACTTCAACATGGGACTCATAAAAAATTACGAAAAGGAAAATTTTTACGGTAGAAATTATGGAAAACTGCGAAACAGGAATTGATCCCAGTGAAGCAGTTGATCCCAGTTGTCCGAAAACAGCAAAAGTAGTTCCTATTTTCAAAGAAGGAGACAAGTCATTTCCAAACAATTATAGACATATTTATTTAGTTCCTGACATTGAAATTTTTTTTGAAAAACTACTATCAAAACGAATAATTAATTTTTTCAACAAGCGTGTCGTCTAAAGCACTAAACAGCTAAAGTTTTGTTTTATATAAAACGAATTTTTCCAATCCAGGATTATTGCGTCCCTCGCATCATTATTTGGCCTAAAAATGCAATTATTGTGCCCATCAATTAATTTTTATAAACCCCTGCCACAAAACGAAATATTTCTCTGATCATCCAGTTTGAACATGCTGTTCTTAATTTTCTTGATTAAACTCCATAAAAAACGCTTATCAGACGATTTGATACATTTAATCTATGGAAAAAAGCTTGGCCAAAAACTCTTTGCACGTGTTTTGGATCATGATAAAACTCTCTGAAAATAAACAGCAAATTGAATGAAAACAGTTTATTGTACCGTTTCAAGGTTTAAAGCTTATATGATAAATTTTTTATAGTAAAAGTTTTCAAAAATCATTTTTAAAAATTTAAGGTATATTTATTGAATGTAGCATGTTTTTTTCAGTGATTTGAAAATTTTTTTGTCTGTCGATGTTTTTTTTGTTTTTCGTTAAAGATTTTTTGTAAAAGAATGATGTAAAGGTATTCCTTCAAAAATTGCTAGTTAAACAATCGAAATTTGCCTGGAGAAAAAACCATCCCCTGCAAAAATTTTCCGTCACTTTCTTCGTAAGTCGGAACAAAAATTCAACTAAACGTATATTATTTTTCAGAGAAGGAAAAACTGGTACAATTTTCACTATGCATTGAAAAGGGCTTGTTATAAAAGTTTAATAAAATTTTTTGTGCATATGGAACTGTATGAATTTTTTAATAGATGGAAAGTGTATGATAAGAAGTTTTGTTCAGCTCGGATATCTTGTGGAGTTATAAGTCTTACCTTTAATTGACCCCTGCTAAATGTAGAAAAAATTTAGAAAATGTATAAAACGTTCGGCGTAATTCGAAAAATAGTTTAACAAATGCCCTCGCTAAACCCAAGCTATAATGAGTTCAGTTTTTCAGATATATTACGCTTCTGTTGCTTTCTATTTTTTTTGCTTGAGATTTCTTTGCTGATGAAAACAACCTGTGTGCTAAGATGCTGCGACTCAAAAATATGTCTTGCAAGTCAAGTAAAAAAAATTGACGCTGAACTAAGAGATGACTCTCACACAACACTATTTGACCTTTTAATGATTGACATACAAATAGTATTGATCGGCTCAATCATTCTCAAAATGTATGATTAATTTACATCAATAGATCAATTGAACATCAATTAGAGTTTTCTGGGTCCAATTGAACTGTTAAAATGGCTACGAGTCCGAAAATTTCAGTTTCAAACGCTGCCGAAGATTGTGAAGAAATAGATTTAGATGAGACCAAAAGAAGGGTAAAAAAGGCAGCTGCTCTGTCGGTGCCCGGAAGACTAGTCCGGAAACTATCTGGCACGGACACTATGGGTCTGGACGCGGACGCTCTTCGACGGTTGTCCCGTGCGTCCTCTCAAAACAGTCTGTTTTTGCCGGACAGAATCGGGAAGACGTTCTCAGAGCATCCATTTGTATGCTCGGTAGTAGCTGGTACGTTTTCTTGAATCTAACAACTCATTTTTATTATTATGTCATCTCATGCATCAATCAGCTGTTTGATGTTTGTTTTAAAATTAGTACTACAAAAATGTATTTTTCCCGATAAAGTATTAGTTGCAGGTTAAAAACAAGATTAATTATTGGTTAGATTTAAACAAAGGGCTGCAAGAAGATCAGCAAAAACCTTGATTAGCAAATCAGGGTCAAGAATCTGAAAAATAACGTGGCTCTTATTATAGTTGACAATGATTGCTTCAAAGCCAAATCGCGGCCCACAACTGTGAGTTTAATAAAAGACAGAGTCGATTTCATCAACGATGGTTCTCTGGAAGATCTCCATTTCACAAATACAGAATCCAACTTCCGGAACTTCTTCTACAACGCCGTGCCCAAAATCAAAGTAGCAGTTGTAAATGAGGTTGGCCAGAGTATGATAGATGGGGCACCTACTACTCAAAATTGGTCACTTTTTCCTATTGAAAATGAAGTGCCAGCATTCCTTCCTTCAAAGAGGGCGTTTTAAATGCGAATCAGTATAAGTTTCTGCACCTGGGCCAACACATCCCCATACCCTTAAGTTATGGTTGCCAATTTTCCAAAGGGCCACTTATCCTTATAAGCCTCCCTTGCTACTCTTTCACGCCATCCACTTTTGACCGTTAAGGACCTTAAAATTCATTTAGAGCAGCCATGGGCGCCAATATAGAGCAATTTATGTTTTCCTTTCTAAAAAACGCTACAAATAAGAAAAATAACACAAGCGGCAAAAAGTGTCGCCAGGAATTTCACGTTGAAATATCGTTCTGGTTTTATAGAAAACTCTAAAAAAACACTTTGTTTGAAACAACCACACGCCCCTCCCCGCAAATTTCTACACCCGCACTGCATTTATCATACTTGCACCAACAATGAGGTCAAAAAGCAACTGGAAGACATGAAGACAGATTTGATCGTGTTTTTGGGTTCATCCGGGTTCAAATCTGATGACGTCACTCCTGATGCTCTTGATTGCAGTGTTCAGTATAATGCACTTGTGTTGCAACAGGCGTTTGTTGCCCAGATGCTTAACCATGGCTTTGATGAACCATTCAGGTAGAAGAAGCACAATCTAATTGCAAAAGTTCAATAATGTCGAACAAATTAAAGGTCTGTTTCTTCAAAACCTTTACCAAGGTCTTTTAATTTTTAAATGAAACAATTTTTTTTTACAGAGAAGCCTTTTCAAATCCAAACAAGGATAGCCGGTTGCTTTCCAAGTGGCACAGAATGTTCCGACCATGGTCTTAAAAAAGACAACAAAACTTTTTCAAAATATTGTCGTTTTTTTTCGGCGTGGAGCTGAACAAAAAACTGGAGATAACGCACATTCGACAGACATAGTAAAATTAGCAAATTGAAAAATCATATTTTTAAAGTTATTTGAAAAATGAAAAAAAAAACTTTGCAGTTTTTGAACTTTTGGAAATTTTGATTCCAAAAAGGCGCTAAAACACTAAAAGTAAACTAAAGTTATTCAAGTAAAACAAATTTTTTACGTTTGTTTGTAAGCATTTAAGCAGCTAAAATAAGACTGCTCGCTCGCTTTATTTGCTCGAAATAAGACCAGAATAAAACCGCTTTTCAAAACTGGGAAAAAAATTTTGAAATTTTTCAATGTGGTTGGAATCACGACTGTACGGGCTTTAATATGATATATCTTTCAATCCAGTCCGATGATTAAACATGGTACCTGATTTTGCGTGAAAAAAAAAACTTAAACACACTCGAATACAAATTTTCCCCGTTTTCAATGGTCGGAACAATAAAGCAAAACAGAGCTTGCACCGACAAAAAACTGTCTGTAAGCTACAGGTCCGCAAATTTGTTGCCTCTTATAACTTTTTTACCGTCTCGATGTCAATCAAAAATCATTTGAATGAGAAAACTTTGCGAAAAAGATGGGTACTAGCCATCATAAAACAATTAGAAAATTAAGCTGTAAATGTGTATACGGCAAGCATGAAACCTTCTTATGAAATAAAATTGACTCCCAAATTTTTTTATGCAGAAAAAATAACATTTTAGACGCGTATATCTTAAATTTGATTATAAAAATAGCGACATGGATGGACGCCTCGGACAACTTTAAACGACTAATGTCTATTCTAAAAACTTTCTAGAGAAGAACCAACAAGGAAATAGAGAAGTGCAGATAGTAGTAAGGAATAAAATAATTGAGTGCTAAATGGAGCAGAAATTTTCACCTGTGGTCATTTTTTGTGACGTTACTGTGTTTTTAAATTGCTATCTTGACAAATTTCGGATAATCAACGCGCGATATATTGCGTGATTGTAACACGTATAAGTGCCGGATTAAATCGTACCAATCTAAGTTAAGGTAAATCATTGTCGTGTTTTGGGATACAAGAAAATTTTCTGGGACACAAAAAAACGCTAAATAAAACCTTATGAAGATTTCAAAGCGTGCAGGGAGAGTAAAATTAATTTTGAATAATTTCGATTAATTTTATCAAATTTTCAACCAAATTTTGGTGGAAATTTTTTTAAATTGTCTTTTTTTTACCCTGAAACTGCAACTTGCTATTGTCTGTGGTTTTATATAAATCTGAAAAACTCTGCTCAAATTTGAAAATAAAAAAGTTTTTAAATTAATTTGCAGCTAATTTCAAATTAAAATTTTCAAAAACTTATTTCGTGACAATTTAAAATATAATATCTAAAAAAAAACATAAATTTTTATATTAGTTGTTTTTTTTTGTATTTTTAGTCTTTTGTTTTTCAATAAAAATTCAATGCAAAAAATGGCTATTTAGGAATTAATCTTGCACCAAAGCATACAGCAAAAACTCGAGAAAACCCGTGTTTTTAAATTTGACCTGATGAAATTTTTATTTAAAAAAACTGAATGAAAAACTATTATAATTAAAACTTTCTTAATTCATTGAACTGATCAACGTAAATGTTTGCAGCAAATACCAATAGATTATTTGAAACATTTTTGAAAACCTAAGCAAATTCAAAAAACATTATAATTGAAAAGTGCTCATGAATGGTTCTTGGTTCCACGTGAAAACTCATTGTCGAAGAACTACAGTGCTGATTTAAATTATCCGGACAAAACGAACAAAACTTGAATTTTCAAACGCGTTTTTTTCAAATTGGGTTAAGATTAGACAAAAAGTGAAGAGAATAAAAGTTTCTTAGAATTTCACCAGAATTAATATGATGCCATTTTTTCTCCGAAATTCTCAACAAAAAATTTACCCCAAAAATGGGTCATTTTGGCTTTTTTCAATAAATCAAGAATTACGCTGAAACTACCTTGTTAATTGATAAGAAAATTATATCACAGGAAGCCTCTTACGCAGCTCAACAAAGTCTAAGAAGGGTTAAATCTCCAAAAACCAGTATAAGAGAAAAAGTTTTCACTTGATAGTCAATAAATGTGATTTTTACTATATAAAACCCAGAATTATTGCTTTAAAATATATTTTAAACATTTTTGCGCAAATTTTGAAAATTTAACCCTTCTTAAACTTTGTTGAGCTGCGTAAGAGGCTTCCTGTGATATAATTTTCTTATCAATTAACAAAGTAGTTTCAGCGTAATTCTTGATTTATTGAAAAAAGCCAAAATGACCCATTTTTGGGGTAAATTTTTTGTTGAGAATTTCGGAGAAAAAATGGCATCATATTAATTCTGGTGAAATTCTAAGCAACTTTTGTTCTCTTCACTTTTTGTCTAATCTTAACCCAATTTGAGAAAAACACGTTTGAAAATTCAAGTTTTGTTCGTTTTGTCCGGATAATTTAAATCAGCACTGTATCAAAGATCAAACTAAATTGGAACGGTTTTTAGACATGCTAGGAGTTTGATTTAAGGACTGAAATTATTTTTATTATTTATGAAGCAAGAATTCATTCCAAAAAGGAAAAAAACTTAAGAACTGAAGCATTGATGTTTTCATGAAAATAGAAAATGTTTTCATTTTTTAAAACCGTTATTAGCAACATGCATGAACAACACTCCATTATTAAACGAGAGAGAGCAGGGTTAATATGAGCTTCGCTTTTCAGCCCACAAAAAATGGTTACCTAATCATAACTCACACCACACACAATGATCCGACCTCTTCCACGCATAACCAAGACATTAAATTACGTGAATGTCTTAAAGCGTCAAAAACAAAAAACAAAGCAATAGATGATAATCCTCGTCTCTTCAATTTTGAACCTTAATCTCAATCTCTCATTTTTGAGTATAGATGCGAATCTGTTTATTTAAACTTTCATTCCAGACCAATGTTTGGAGTATCTGGACAAACACTGATCATCAACATACCCGACAACCTTCATTTATTAGAGGCAAGTAATCTCCGTCGAGCAATCAATTTAAATGAAAAGCAACTCATATGGCCCATAAGAGCTCATTGTTTGGTCAATGATATAAACTTTTTAACCACGTGCGCGCATTTGAAACTTGCATCAAACCTTTTGAAATGTATTATTTTTCAAGATGTTACATAGTTTTTTATTGTTTCAGCGCTGCATGGCAAAAGGCGGCTTATTTTGGAGGTTAATTGAGAAGACAATTCTGAGTTTGAGAGATGTTGACAGCATAATAACAGCTGAGAAATCACAAGAACAACTCAGAGTTTCCAGATCTGAAAAAGTCAAACCCAAAAGCTGGTGCTTACCATAAAAATCAGCATCTATCTATTATAATACTTTGAAAAAAAGATCCGGCAAAAATCATCAGCAGAAGATTCTTTTATTCCTATGCTTAAAACAGCATTATTAGAATGGCAACGCAATGGAATGTTTAAATTGGCAGTCTACGTTTTCAAACTAAATATTACATATATGTACACAAGAATTGGACTAATTTTTGTAATCTACACAAACTGAAAAAAATTCATACACCGGTTGAACTCATTGATTGAAACGTGAAACCAAAGAGCAGATGTTTTTTTTTCATTCGCTTCTGTATTTGATCGGAAAGCAAGACGGATTAAAAAAATTGCATTTTTTCCTTTTGCGCAATCATTTTTCCATAGTCCCATATAAGGATAAATGTGCACACTCATGTTCCTTTGAATGATAAAAAAATTTTACCTCACAAATTTGCCGAAAAAATGACACAGATTTTAGTTTCAGTTATGACAATTATTTTTGTTAATGTTCAAATTTTGCCCACCGATGCAAAAATTGTAGAAGGATCGGTGTGGGCGCCGAACTCAAACTTCCATTTCCTGTCCCGGTTTTGCTTCCAAGAGGGAAATGACGCAACGCTTGAGTACGAAATCAGATACCCCGAGTCTTTCTGCCTACGAGGCGAAAACGGGATCTACCAGAGCGGCTGTCAAAAATTAGTTCTCTATTACGACGAGAAAGACCAGTGGGACTTCGTGTACAAAAACGATAAAGTGGAGTGTCAGGATAAGTTGGATCCGAACCTGTTGCACTACTCACAGATCATAAATTTAGACCCAATGAAACATGAGCCAGGCGAGGAGATAGACTCACTGTATAAGTACAGTATGTTTGTGTCCGGATGCTGGCTCACTAAAAGTAAGTTTTGTAGACTAGTACAACAGAGCAGACTGAGTACCATATTTGGGTTGAAATACTTCTCTAATATACGGGTTGGCATTTTTAAGGTACCTCTTGCAGCTATATTTGGCTAGACTTTCATACATATAGCGTCTTTGAAACAAATAAACGCCATTTCAAAGGACGCACGCACTGGCAAAATACGCCGTACTTTGACGTGATTTTCCAGTGCATAGTGCTCAAAAAGGTCATTTTCATTGAAAAAAAACGCTCCGCCGCAAATAGATTTTAAAAGTTTCAAAAAACTACAAACCGACTTATTGCAAAAACTGATTGGTTGATTTAAGCAAAATGAACCATTTTGTGACCCATTATAACAAACTATGTGACCCATTTTACCTTAAGTTGAACAGGTGAATTATCAAAAGTTTTAGTGAACTCACCGATAATCTATGGCAAAAAAGTTAATCTTTAAATTCTATTTTCGGCCTTATAATTTTGTATCTTTGCCGCTGACGCCCTGCTAAATTATGCTAAGAAACTGGATGCAAAAGTGCAAGATTTTTAGTTATCCTCAAAAACCTGAGTCAAAGAAGTTGCTCGCTATGTTCTAAATAAATTTCTCCAAAACTGCAACAACAGAAAATTATCGGTCAATAAGATAATTTGCTTAGTGTTTTCAGCATAACTTGAGTAATGAGTCACTTAACCAAAATGACTAAAGGAACAGAGCCTCAAAATCTCTTAATTGGACGCTGCATTTTGTTTATTTATTTTTTTGCCTTTCTGTTTTTTGTTTTTTGTTGCCGATGAATTGCTAAACTATGCAAAAGAAAATGAACACGCAAAATATCTAAAATATCTTCATAAAAACCTTGAGCAATGAAATTTGATCGCTATTTTCTAAAACAAAATTAGTAGGCCACTGTGGTAACCTCATCTATCTTCTTAGCAACTATAACAAGGAACCATTTTATGGCAACCACAGTTAAACCATTAAAAACTCAGCAACGATGCAACGCAACAAACACTAACAGATCAAAAAACCAAATAGATCAAAATATCTTTTTCAGCTCCTCCATAAAACTCTTTGCCGAACATCCATTTCTTTGAAACACATCATCGTCGGTTAAGCTCACATAGATAATGTATCTGTGGTACTGCCGCCACAGTAACCTTGAGAGGTTAGGTTATTATGCTTTGACATTTATTGATATTATATCATCAAGGCCATTTACATTTAGTATGCCAATTTGAAAAACGGTCATGACTATCGGTCAGACGTTAAGAAAAGAGTATGCGCTTAACTTGCGTAAAAACGACTCAAGAACAGTCTGAAATTACATGATCTCTTATTAGTTTTCATTTACATTAACGGATAAACTGTTGGTTATCACATGGCGCAGCCAGCAGGACTTATGTCTTAGGATAACAGAACGGATATGGGAATCCCCGTATTTTGGACAAACGCGCAGTCTGATCCACCTTGGAACTTTAGGATTTGGTTCAACCAATTTCTATTGGCACTCACGGTGAAAAAAACTCAAATCCAGAAGTATTGCTGGAGGACCCGAAACCAGTTTTAGAATAACCAGTCACAAGACCGGAGACACCAAGAGAGAATGAAGTTGCGCAAGCAGTCACGGATAGAAAAGCCAGAGACAAACTGGCACGAGACAGAGTCCTGCAAGAAAACGAGGAACGAAGAGAGAGAGGACCTAAGGTCGGTCACAATGTTTAGTACAATAAAGTGCAGAAAAAAATTGCATCGAGGTTAATTTTAGCACTGGGCACTGAAGGAAAAAAACGGTTTGTCCAAAAGAACCCACATACAGAAGTATCAAAATTAGTATTTCGAGAAACGAGAGGTTGGCAAAAATCTCATTTGAGAAGACACAGAGCATCACATACGAACGATACAAGCTGTTTAACAGCTCACAAGAAACAGGAGAAACGCTACAAGCATTTAACGCGGCATTAACTTTGCAGGCAGCTAGAGCGGAGTTAGGTACATTGGAAGAGTTAGGTTCGTGTTCATACCAAAACTAAAGAATACACTATTGCAAGATACATTAATTTTCGAAACTTTTCCGCCCGATGAGGTGCTAAAAAAGGCTCTGAGATTTGAACAGAGTAAACAAACGACACAGGCGTTTCAAAAATCAAACACAACTACTGCGAGTGCAAGTCAACTCCATGGGACACAAATGAAAATCAAGCGAGAACCTATCTTGGCTAAAGGAAATAAGGGACCAATTAGTCGGAGACAACCTAGAGATAAATACAGAAGAAAAAAAACGATACAAAAAACGGAAGGGGTAGTATCGGGGCAAAACCCTGTTCTGGAAGGTCACCTAAAAATATGTCTGGCCATGGGAAAGACTTTCAAAAACTGCACTAAACCTAATTACTTCGCTAAAATGTGCCGGTCACAGCAAGTAAATGAAGTAACTGAGAACACAAATAGCTCAGATGAGGAGTGCAACATGATACAATCATTTGATTCCGGCGACGAGTTCGAAATCATGTCCATCGAGTCTAATACTACATCGATAGCACAAATTGACGAATACATAAGGAATAAAGTGCAACAGAAATCAAAATTACCGACGAACGTAACAGAAAACAGAGATGTGCTTTTAGTGATTTTATTTGCTGGAACGAGGGTTTCAATTTTTCGAGCATCTCTGCTTTCTGTTACGTTCGTCGGTAATTTTGATTTTTGTTTCACTTTATCTTTTTTTTTGAAAATGTTCCGCCCAACGCCTTATGCTTAATACAATACAAAGTGATATTTTTAGCACCTAGTTAGGTAATATCAATACCAAAATTCAACATGCAATGATTCCTGAGCCGATAAATTTGCTGGTTAGGCATGAATGGCCCATCGAGCGTAATCCATCTCACATTGGCAAAATTGCTTAAGAAAGTAACAGCTTTTAATATCGATAACGCTCAGATGCAGTAGCGTGCCGAGGGGGAGTAGGAGAATTGCAGTAGACTTAGATAAGAAGAAACGAAAAATTTCAAGCCCGTTTTTTTCGACATTTTTAGATCAAGTCACGGCTGATGGGGCTTTTTATATATCACTCGGCCTCGTATTTCTGGAAATTTAATCTGCTTCAAGATCGTCTAGCCAAGGCTATTGTTCCTTGTAGCTCTTTGATTGGTCAGAGCAACATACGCTCTTGTTTGTGCCACTGAAATTAAATTTTCGGGCATCTTTTCTCTCTTAAATTACTCCATTAGCTTTCTGAAGCTCTGACACTCCTAGTCACTGCCCATGGCGCCAATTAACGAAAAACAAAATTATCCAATTCAGGTGCTTCGAGCAAAACGCTGTTGTTGAGATCATTACGAGTCTTTAAGATACAAATGATTTTTTGAGACTGTAACTTTTTCTTTGCCCTCGAGCAGAGAGCTTTTGCTCCTCAAAAAATCCAACAATCGATTTGCGATCTGCGTAATCTTTTTTATTGATTGCAAATTTTATATTGGCCTGAACATCAGAACTTCTGCTTGTCTTGTCAAGACTAAAAACCTTATAAAAGGACTCGTGTTAGATACACTGCCAGCCTCTGTAGAGCCTCTGCAGCTTGATAAAAATCACTTTTTTATTCCGTTTGATTTAGGGGAAGATACCAACGCTTCTGAGATTGCCTGCAGAGCGAAACGGAACTTCCTCTCGCAACGCGACAGATGGTGGTTCGTAGCTCTAGTCAACTGCGAGACAGACAAAGGACTCAAGCTAGACTATTTCCACCTGGAGTTCAAAAACGGCGACAGCTACAACAAACATTTCTCAGTGGACGAGTGGTACATTATGGAGACGACTTTCGTTCTCCTATATCTATTTATCATTCTTCTAATCGCTTGTATAGTTTTTACGATTAAGCTTAAAAACATGGGCTTTTATCATATCACTTTCAAATTGTTCACGTTGTCTCTTCTACTGAAAGTTATTTCATATTTGCTTTATGCATGGGCTTACCTGAAATACAGAACAGGTTATGAATCAATCAGGATCAAAAATTTGGCCCTTGGATTTTCAATGTTGGCTCATATATTTTTGATTTTCCTGGTTATTCTAATGGCCAAAGGATACACTATAACTCGGGCTAAATTGTCGACCAAAGGAACTTTCAAGGTCATGCTGTTCATTATTATTTTCACTCTAATTTATTTCGTATCGTTCGTTTACCATGTCAATGTATTCGACCCTGGAGAGGTTCTTTACTTCTATGAGTCACCGCCTGGTTACACCACTCTAGGGTTGCAAATCTTAAGCTCGTTCATGATATCATACGGAGTTTTCTTCACCGTGAAACGCTACCCTGAAAAATTGAAGTTTTACCTTCCGTTTTACGTATTTTACAGCGCCTGGATTTTGGTCACACCTATTTTTGCAATATTCTCCATTTTCGTTCTTCAAGATTTTTACAGACAGAAAATAGTCTATGGCGTCGAGGGTGGCCTTTCATTTCTGTCATACGGATTTTTCTTGATTTTGACTTTCCCAACCAGAGCGAATAAGAATTTCCCCTACCATATAAAAACAAACCAGATTGATATTCTGGAAATAACTGAGACTGGGAACTTTCCACACGACCCAGACGGACAAAGCGAGAGTTCGTATGCCTCGTCGGCTGCTTCGGGCGAAACAGTTACTGTGTCGGTTAGTTCGAGGTCAGCCGAGACAAACTTCATCGATGTGTTCCGAGTGGATTACGACATGGTTGATCCGAACAACAGGCGCGAATAGGGACAAAAAACATCAGATATTAGACACAAATTTATCTCAATCTTGAAACCATTGATGCGGTTTATTATTTAACCAAGTATTATTTAAACTTTTGATGAAAATAAAGACCATGTATATGTAGTGCTCATTTTAGTACCATTTCATGGTTCCAATCAAAATGTATTGTATTTTACGACAAAGATTATATTTTAATTAAATGTGCGCGATAACTTTCACAAATAATGATTACTTGATACAGTTAGGAGTGAAATTTCGAAAAAAAAATTTGCTTATATATCGTTGATTCAGCTAACGTGTTGGTAACTAAGGTGGTATTTCAAGTACAAGACAAAACTTTAACAGTTTGCAGTAATATATACACAAATCGACAATTTTTACAATCTTTGATGTAAAATAGTGCAGAGCGCTAAGGAGCTTTTCGGAACTCTTTTGGCAGTTCATCGGAAGTTCACCAGAAATAAACCATGGGACTCAGATTGACACCATTGCGAAGGCCTGGTTTATCAAAAATACAAAAAAAATAACATACCAATCTACACTATGCCTGGGACATTGCGAAGGACTGGTTTATCAAAAACACGACAAAAAAAACAACTTACCAATCTACACTATGCCTGGGGCAATCTACACTAGCCCGGACAGTTTTGTCTGGGAACCAAATGTCTTGGACACTTTTAGCATTTTGGACTGTTTTTGCCGGGACAAATGTCTGGGACACAAATGTCCTGACACGATTTATATTACACGGAGGCGAAGCGGAAAATTTGAAAAAGACTAAGCTACAAAAACTTCATGGTTGTGTAGAAAAAAATTCATAAACAGCCTTAAAAAACGTGAAAACAGCTTAAAAAGTGTAATAAGAAAAAGTAGGAGTAAGCTTCGAATTAGTAAGAACTAGCCATGATTCGAACCTACGGAGCTTCAAATAGACCGTGGAACGTAAAAAAGAGCTTCCTAAAACGCAGTCGAAATTGGAATGAAGAATTGCTCGCCCTGAAAGTACCCTGACAGCAAATCACTAAAGGGTTGAGATATTCAAGTTCCGTTAACTTTTTTTCTAAGTTTTTTGAAAAAAAGTATGCACATATTTGTGCATGAGTACGCTAAAATATAATGCATAGTAAAATACCATAATGCATATAAGTAAAAACAATATGATGTAAGCTCTCCGGCAAATTATTCCACCAATTCTAGAAATTATAAGAAGACAATATGGCGTGGAGTGGGTTTTTCCCACAATACAGCTACCTCAAAAAACCATAGAGGATTATTTTCAGGGAGGGGTTGGTATCATTCCGTAAATTCATATAAACTAGCAATCCTGCCTGTAATAATCAACTGGCTCGCAAAAAATTAGTTGTTCTTATCAAGCTATCCAAGTAATGAAACTTCGAACAATTTCAAGTTAAGCCACATCGTAAAACGGTTTGGAAAACATTCGAATTCATAGAACAATTCAGTTCCTAAAAAATTGAAAATTTTTTGAGCAAGCTAGTCAAGCAATGAAACTTTGAAAAATTTCAAAATGTGCTATGAAGAAACTCGAATGGCGAAACTTTGTTTTTCTAAGGAAGCTATTCAAGCCGTGAAACATTGAAATATTTCAAGTTGTTTTATAGAACGAATCAATTAAATTTAAAAAGTAAAGTTTTTCTAGGCAAGCTATTAAGCAATAAAACTTTCACATTGTTTCAAGCAGCGAATAAGTCGGCAAAAAATTTAAGTTTTTCTAAGGAAGTCATTTAAGCCATCAATTTTTAAAACATTTTCAAGTTATTTCATAGACTGAACAAAAGAACTTTTGTAGTTTTTCAAGTTTTTTATTAAGGAATGGGCTGGGGAAAATTTTAAGTTATTCTATTTGGACCATTCAATTTACAAATGTAAACTTTTTTAGTTGTTTCATGAAGGGTATCGGATAGCAAAAAAAATAGTTTTTCTATTACAGCCATACAGCCGACGAAACAATTTTTGTTTCTTTCAAAGACCAAACCAGTTTTCGAAAAACCTTTTTTTTCCGAACACGCTTCTTAAACTATGAACCTTTGAAACAACGCAAATTGAATGGCAAAAAGTTTTAAGCTATGAATCTTTGAAACAAAGCCAATTGAATGGCAAAAAAGTTATTTTATATGTTGAAGCCATTTAAGTGACAAAAGTTTGAACAATTTCATAATATTTCATCAAACGAATCGATCCACAAAAAAATAAATTTAGGTTAAAACTAAAATTTCACAGACTAATTTGCTTCGCAAAAAAATTAAATTTTTATAAGCAAGCTATTGAAGCTATGAACGTGATACAATTCAATTTATTTGTTCAATCTTATCAATTTGACAAACAACTGAAGTTTTCCGTGCAAGCTATTCCAAAAAGGAAAACTTTTAGCTTGTTTAAAAGAGCAATCAGTCAACAAAAAGTTTTCCTAAATTATTCTAGTTTTGATCTTTCTGAACTTATCTTATGCAAGCAATCAAATAGCCAAAAAGGTAAGTTTTGTTTATTGCACCATTCAAGCAAGGAAACTTCGATATGTTTCAAGTACTTCCATAGACCAAATTAAAAAATTTCCAGATTTTCTAAGCAAGCTATTCAAGATATGAATCTTTGAAACTAACTCAGGCAAATCGGATAACGAAAAATTACAATTTTCTGCTGAAGCACTCATCCGATAAAACTTCGAAATATTTGAAATTATTTCATAAATTAATCAAACTGCAAGATTTTCAAGTTTTTATTTTGGAGCCAAACAAGCGATTGAACTTTGAAATAATCAAAGTGATCAGCAAAAAAAAAACAAATTTGCTATTCTAGCTACTTGGCTTAAGCTTTGAAACGTTTCAACTTATTTCTTCGAACAAATCGGTTCGCGATAAGCTCATGTTTTCTTGAACAAACTATTCAAGCTAGGAAACATTTCAAGCTATTTCGTCGACTGTTCATCCGTTTTGAACAAGTTTATGTTTTTCTAAGCAAGCTATTCAGGTTATGAAACATTTCAAGTAAATTCGTATATCGAATCGAAGCACGAAAAATTAGAGTTTTTATAAACAAGCTATGAAACTTTGAATTGCTTCAAGTTATTTTATGGACAGATTAGTTCGCAAAAAGTTCGTTTTTCTAAGTTTTTATGCAGAAACACGGATAGCGAAAAGTAGGAAATTTTTCCTTTGCAGTCACTCAACCGACGAAAATTGAAAAAATTTCGAGTTATTTCAAAGAACAAATTAAAAAGATAATGTTTTTAAAGCTATTCAATCTGTGAAACTGAAATGTTTCAAAATATTTTATGGATCGAATCATTTCGCGGAAAAGTCAAATTTTTCTAAGCAAATTATTCAAGCCATGAAACTTTGAAATATTTCATTTGGTATTATAGATTATATTTTTGCGAAAAAAGTAAAGTTTTTCTAGGCAAGCTATTAAAACAGTAAAACTTTGAAAAATTCACGTTGTTTCAACGCGAATCAGTCGGCGAAAATTTCAAGTTTTTCTAAGGAAGTTACATAAGCTATTAAACATTGAAACATTTTCAAGTTATTACATAGACTGATTTGCTTCGCGAAAATTTAAGTTTCTCTAAGCAAGCTATTTAAGCTATGAAACTGAAATAATTCAAGTTATTCCGTGGACCGAATCGATTCGCGAAAAGTTTAAAAATTTAGTCAGCAAGGTTTTAAAGCTATGAAATTTTGAATTATTTCAAGCTATTGCATAAACTGAAACGGTTTGCGGAAAGTATAAGTTTTTCTAAGCAAGCTATTTAAGCAATGAAACATTTAAATATTTCAAGTTGTTCTATAAAGCGAATGAATTCGCAAAAGTTTCTTTTTTAGCATGGAGGTTGCTGTTTTTAGTGGATTCCTTTCAGACTGAAATGAACCTGTAACCACAGAATTTTGGACAAAAATTTGGCAGGTACTGCCTAGCCTTGAAGTTGGATCGATCACCTTGAGTTCATCTTCCTCTGATGGTTGCTCTGACTAATTTTTCAATGTTGTGCTCGATAGAAAAGTTTAAACATTGCGTACATAGCGCATGAAGACACTCATTTAATAAAAAAGATCTTCTGTCGATAAAATAATGGTCTATTCAGACTCAATATTTAACAGTTTGCCACGAACGGAGTGAACCACACAGAACAAATGAATTTCCTTATCTCTCTCTCATCTATCCAAGAAACCGGCTGAAAAAAAGGAAAAAAATGGAAATTAATATTATTTTTGTTTCAATAACTAGTTGCAATGACTACTGTGGCTTAAGCATTCTATGCTAATTATTGCACACCAATTCGCAACTAAACCTAAGTGGTGAGTCGATGAAAAACGATCAACGGATATGAAATTCATTTCAAAATAATTTTGTGATAAAGTTCAAATTCAAGTTTACGCTGGTGGAGGGGGAGGTGGCGGCGGAGTTTCTTGACCCCTGGCTTCATTTGCAATCGGCGCTTCCTGTTGGTTCTCTCTCGAATTTTCTGCTGTAGCTCCTGCGTTCTCTGATTGTTCAGTCGGCTGTTGATTAGCCGTGGCGTCATCAAACGCATCTACCGCTTGAATCCGATTGGTCGGAATCCTTGGTTTATTTTTCTTGCCATATTTGGCCACTGCTCGTTCATATGCCTTGTCGACTTCCTCCAAATCTCCAAACAGTTTCAAATCGCCATATGCATTAACAATACCATAATTCGATATCGCGAGCTGTCGATTTTTGGCCATTCTTGCATCCTTCTGTTCTTTGTAATCCTCAGGGTAGCCTCGTTTTGGAACCTTCAAAACGGGGTTTCCATCTTCGTCGACAATTTGCTGTCCACTTTGGTCAAACTGAGGTTCGGGTTCCAAATCTGACGCTTTTTCGAAGTAAGCTTTGTCGACTGCATCGTCGATGATATCGAAAACTATCGCTTTAGTAGCAGTCAAAGCGCCGATGTATTCCTCGCCATCAAGAAGCCAGTTTGACTTGCGGATTCTTTGGTCGGGATCGTATTGTAACACACGTTCTGGCTGCATCATTTCCAGTGTTCTATATGCCAACCACATATCTTTTCTGGTTTGTTTCGTATTCAGATCACGCAGTGACAGAATATCGATCATGCTTTGATCTGGACTGTAAGAAATGATTTGAATTCTGTCTGTTTTTGGAGGCGATGCTACTATTATTCCGGCTGAAGGTTGAAGAGTGATCACCGACCGAGGCAATCCAGTAAAACTTAAAAGATTCAAACCGTTGAACTCGTCGCTTGTAGCTGTCATAATTTTGGTCCCAGTTGTTAGCGAATAACCACTGAGAGAACCCATTACATTCACTATTATGTAAGCTGTAGAAGTTGTGTCAAAAGGTCGACTTGTCTCAAACGAAACGACATTATTGGTCAAAATTATGTCATAATCACGTTCAGTTATCGGGATGTCTAGCCTAAGGTCCAAACTTTCTTTTCGCTCCAGGTCGAAAGCGAAAAATGAAATATGTGGTCCAACTTGTTCTATTCTGTTAAACAGCGTCATGTATATTATGATATCACCATCTGGAGTTGTTTCTGCTTCCAAAAGTCTAGTTGCTTTAACATTCTTCGGCCTTAGGAGTTCCTTCTCGACCCTGTGCAGCTCTTTGTCTAATTTAGCTCTGGTTATCGTGTAGAATGTTGAGCCAGATTTCGATATCAAATCTGCTGGGTACTGTTTAGTCAGTAGATCTGGATCATCGTTATCTTGCCATACTAGCTCTTTATCTTCAATTGATTTCATGAAAAGCTCCGTTTCAACGGTGTCCATTCGCTTTTCTAACTCATCAGAAGCGAGTGGGATCTGCCGACCCCTAGAATCCGTGTTGTATCTCGAGAAAATTACTTTAGGAGGGTTGTCCTGGCTGTTTACAGGAACATAAACAACTTTCTGCATGATAAGTTTGTTCTTTTTGTATGGCTCACAGAAATCTTGGGTAAAGTAGTCTTTTGTGTATCGCCACCAGTTAAGGTACCCTAAATCATCCAGTGTTACCATTTCACCAACACCACTTATGAAAGCAATCAAAATAATTTGAGAGTTATGAGCTTTGAAGAGCTCGCTTTGAATTCCTTTCGCAATGAAATTCGTTCCGTGATCAGCTGCAACTTGAGGGTAAATTATTTTCATCTTTTTCTGGTCTAAATCTTCATCCTGGCCTAAAAACTCATTTTCGAAATCCAATTTCTGCATGTCTCCCTTTTCGAAACTGACCATTACGGAGAAACTAGAGCATGCTAAAGTACTTGAAGGATGAAATTTACACATTCCTAAAGACTGATTCACTACCTCGCCGTTCTGTTCAGCGATTGGTCCACGAGCAAACTGAAAATCAGACGTGCTTTGGTTCAGCATGATCACTTCGTAAAGTGAGAAAGGTTTGAACTCATCTGTCTTCGTGAACTTAATTCCTAAATCTGACAGTTCACGTTCGTTCACTTCGAGAGAAATAAGTATATTGTAAACCGTAATGGCTCTATCTCGTTGACAGATTATTTGCGAATCATCACCAGACCATGCGATACTCTCAATCGGGTAGTCCCCTCTTGAAGGACTCCGGGCAACATACAGTAGTCTAGGTTCGGGTTGGAACAAGTCGTACACCAGAATATCCCCATGACCTGTTCCGACAGCTAGAAGTCGGTGCTTTGAACTTAATTTAGCAGTCTGGCATCCTTTCATTTCTGCAGTTAGAAGAATTCTAGAGATCTCAACGTCAATACCTTCCCAATAACGCGCTTCCTTTTTCCAGAAATTGTTGTAAATAGGTGACTCATAATTCTTTTCGCGGAGATCGAAAGGTTTAATTTGGTGAACATCTATCGGCTCGACATCTTCTCGTATTTCAACGACTGGCTTTCCCGAGATGTGGGTCATAGGGAGAGAGTGTTTCCAGATTTGCTCGGAGGTTTCGGCTTTGGTTTTCTTTTCGCTTCTCTCTCGCAGCAGTTTCTCGAATATCTTGTTGATGCGGAGATAATCTGAACATAATTTCAGTTTGAAAAACGACCAAATAGCACTTAAAATAGCCCATGACAATCAGTACATACATGTCAAAATCAGCAAACCATTGAAAATTGACCTTTTTACGCAAACATGATTTGTAAAACCAAAGAAACTGCGATTATTGACATTTGAAGAAGAAAATAATTAAGGCTAGGAGACTTCGAGATTCGGAACTTTTGATTGTTTAACTGAACGGTAGGAAACTGTGCATACCTGGATCATCCGGAAGTCTCTCCTCTTGCTCGGCAGATGCAGAAACTTCGGCAGCTTTGATGACCAAATTGTTAGCTAGAACAAATTTTAGAACAGCTCAATACAAATCAAGATCGGAAAGTATATCTTCGCTAAATATTAAGTTTTCTAATATTATAATATCGAACAGGTCTAAAGCAATAAGCTCCCCTTTAAAACTGAACAAGACATCTCGCATATCAGGAATTGCTACGACCAATTACCTTACCTCATTTCAATTTGGAACTATTTGATTGCGAGATAATTCACCGAGCATAAAAATATACGCGTTATTTTTTCTGCATCGTAGATAAAATCTTCAAAGCGCGCATGAAATATTCCAGACCACGGCTAAATTGGTATTTCACGAACACCCAGCGCCTAAAAAATGATCGCAGGTTAAATATCTGTTTTTCTTTTGAATTCAGGGAGTCAATTTTTTTGTGTACAAAAATTTTTTGGTAAAAACTTTCGATCTCCCAAATTGGCCTGAATAAAGAAACAACCCCCAAACATAGATATTCATTACTTTCCTCGAAAGTCAAAACAACAATCCAAATAAGCCGGAAACTCTAACAAGACTGCTCGTATCAGGGCGAATCCCTGAATGTTCCGACTGCCTTTTTAGCAGGTTTATGGAGCAGTAGTAACATAAAAAATTAAATGTAATAAAATGAAAATATATATATATAAATCTTGCTTTTTTTTATGAAATCATCCCCCCACACACCATATTAAGTACAAAAGAATAGATTTCGCTCATTGTAACAAACAATTATGGCAAATAAATTTCTTTCAACTAATTTGGAATGATTTCTAAGACGGATTAAATCTCCGCTTACGCGTTAATAGCGCGAATTATATCGCGCGTTAACCGTCTCAAATTGGCCAAAATGGCAATCTTTAAACCCCCATAACTTTAAAGAAAATGATCACAGGTGAAATATCTTTTTAAATTTAAGCTCAGGACAACAATACCTTTTGAATGATATTTAAAAAATTCCGTCAAAAATGGCTAGTTAAAAAGTCGAAGTTTGTCTGAAGAAAAAAAAAACCCACCCCGAGCACAAATCTTCTGTTACTTTCGTATCGAAAGTCGGAACAACAATAACAGCAATATGTCCCGTTGCTGGTCTTTCCTATGTATATATTGTTATCTTTAATGTTTGAAATGAGTTGTATTTTTTCTGATGAATTCTTTCTTTATTTCTTTCAAACGCCAAAACTTGCAAAATTCACTCAACACTTATACCCACTATATAGCTTTTTGATATTTAATGTAAAATTGTCGGAAATATCCGTGATCTTGAGCTCATTAATCAGTGTGTTTTAGATTATTTCAATTTTAAATTCCAAATTTGAGCGAATAAAGCAAACGAGCAGGTTCATAATGGGAGTATAAGCTGTCATTTAAGCTTCGAAAACTTTGTTTGATTCCAGAAATTTTTAGAGCCTTCTTGAGAAGAATTAAGAAATTAAAAATCAACAAAAAAATTGAACAGTTGTTATAAAATTTTACGATTTTTCTTTTTGTTTTTCTGTCCAATATTCTTATGCTCAGATCCTCTCATCACACTCCGGATAAAAACGACTCAATTTGAAGAAAAAAAGCTGTTTTTTTTCAAGTTTTTTTTTCTATTATCGTGGTCGGAACTTTCTGTGCTACTTTTTATAACATACATTTGGCAGTGGACATTTTGCTGATTTCGAAGAACTCGTCAATTGCATCGACTGTCAGCTCAGCCGTGACCTCTAGTACCAGTTCATCTCTGATCAAAGCTCCAACTCTCTGTTTCAAAGTCGTCTTGTGGAACTTGTTCAGCTCCCTTGACACTTCCATTGCTTCTTCCTCGTAATGCTTCCGGTGTTTGGCCGGAAGTTGCTGTCTCAGAAATGAGTCCATCGACTTTTCCACTAGTTCGTTCACAATACTTCTACAAATAATAGCAGCGTCCCTTTGGTAAGGCTCAAAGGAGTCCAAGCCACGCCCTTGTTCGCCCATCTTCACAAACTTGAGGTCTTCCATGTCCAAGTCTAGTTTGAGTTCGGTGACTGTTTTCTCCATTTTAGGAATTAGAGTCTTCACTTTTTCAACAAGAGACTCCATCGTCTCCACCTGTAAATTGAACTGAGTTAGTAACACCTATCAGTTAGAAAACATTTGATGTTAAGTTAAGTTATTACTGTCGTTCAATTCTTAAGTTAAGCGCAGCTGTATTACTTAACAAGCTTGAACAACATGCGTCATGCGTCCAAAAAACACCCATTTTTGCATGAAAACTAGATTTACTGAATTTTTATTATAAAAGTTCAAAAAAATCTACCTCTGCTTCTTCTGGATACGCGTAATAAGGGGATCTAGAGGGTTCGCTGGGCGTTTCCGGGGGATATTCTGGCCGAGGATATTTGTAGACATCATGGTCTCCTGGAATTGAGTTGATTGAGGGCGAGTATCTCCCGCCAACCAGTCGCCTTTTGTCCTCGTAAATACGATTCTAAATTCATGAAGTTTTGATCTATAATTGCCCAAAGTATCATTCTTTTTATATTTAAGTATTATGATTTTTTTCGAAGTTTTTTCGAAGATAAACTTATTAAATAGATTCCTCTTCCCTCGTTCAAACTGTGTGTTTTCAGAAAAGTTGTAGCTAGGAACAAGAACACCTTATTCGAAACGAAAAAGTCCCGTCCGTTCCTAGCCGTGGATGGGTGAAAACCAATGAGATTTCACATATTCAAGAAATCGTCGTCGCAACACTTGTTGATCGGAGACTCACAATTGAAAAATCTAACTTTCCCAAATTTCAATATCCTCAGCCTTCCTGGTGCAGGTATCGCGGATGTTCTAAACTTCTTGCCCCGCAAGAACGAATACGATATTATAGCTCTATTCATTGGTGCGAACGATCTGTTTACGAAAGACAAAAAAGACTCAACGAGAACACCCGAAGACGTTGCTGAAGAATTATCCCAACTTGGCCTACGGTTGACAGAACGTTGCAATAAAGTTTTCATTATCGCTCTACCACCCAGACTCGGAAGACCAGCCCGAACGGAACGTGTAAACGATATTCTTCGCAAAAAGAAAGAACTCTGGCGATATCGCGGTATATCGAAAGGAATAACCACCAAAACTGTTCTATCTTCCGACGAAGTGCATTTAACAACAGCATCGCTTGCGAGTCTCCAAACGATTTTGAAAAAGAAAATCATCTACAAGAAGTTCTGTGTAAAAACTGATAGCGAGGGCTACTCGAATATATACCACTGCGGCAACAACACTTGTCGGTGTCATCATTTTCACAGAGACTGAATTTTCTATTGATACCCTTTAGGTATCGCCAGATTTGATGTCTTTGTGAATTCACATCTATAAAAAAAACCGTTTTCTCCCGCTGGTCATCAAGAACCCTTAAGGTCCCAAACAACTGTTTTCATAACCCTAACACTGATACTTCAGTCCTCAATCGGCGCCCTTTAGGTACCACCCTGAGGACTCGAGTACACTACCTAAACCTTCATCCCCCAAACACAGTTTCCACAGAGATAAGAGGACGTAAACATAAATAAAACTGAGAATGTCAAAGGACAAAAAACCTTGCAAAACATGCAAGAAACCCATAAACGAAAATGACCCAATATACAATTGCATCACCTGTAATTGCTCTATGCACCTTGAAGTTGTCTGCACTGGCCTCTCGACCGTTGCACTCAATGGAATACTGGAACTTGGTAACAACGCACTACTGATATGCAATACCTGTTTGTCCAACGGAAAAAGAGATCAAGTAATCAGAAGCACAGCATCACATGACAAAAGTGAAAACATCAAAAAAATTGAAGAAGAAATTTCAAAACTAAGTAAAGTAGTAGCCGAAGTCTCGACAAAAATGGAAAATATTAAAGATCCCATCCAAAGCCTGCCAATAGCAGAACAGGGTAAAACCTGGTCACAAGTAGCGGCGCAAAACATAATCAAACCCCTGAGCAAAGGATTGAGAATAAGAGGGGTCCCCGAGATCAAGGAAAGAGATGGAAGAAAAAGACTTGACCATGACTATGATGAGGTAAATAAAATCATGAAATTCTTAAACCTCGAATGCAATATCACTGATCTCAAGCGTGTGGGAAAGTTCAGCGAAGAACGAGCAAACCACAGAACTATACTGGTACGAGTAACCTGTCCAAGAGAAATAGACTTGATACTATCATCAACACCGGCCCTCAAAAATTATGACAAAAATGTCTTCATAAGTAAGGAACTCTCAGTCGAAGAAATGAAACTGGAAAACGCCATCCTGAGAGAACGTAGAAATCTCATCAGCAGTGGTAAAAACCCCAAAAATCTTCGAATCAGAAACCTAGAACTGCATGAAAAAGTAGACACCTGGACAAAAGTTACAATTAAACCGGAGGCAAACAGCACAATTCAGACTAGAAATGACAACTGACTAGAATCGCTGAATGTTATGTCATTCAATACACGAAGTATACTGGATATAAATAGACGTATGAAACTTAGCAATATAATACTATCGAACGATTATGACATCATTTGCTTAAGCGAAACTTGGTTAACTGAAAATATCCCTGACAACGCGCTTTTTCTGCCTGCACACATAATAACTAGATGTGATAGACCTACCAACTCAACAAAATCGAAACACGGGGGCGTGCTTATTGCTGTTACGCAATCCCTAGCTTTCACAAAACTTGAAATACACACTACGGACTGCGTTGGACTCCTCCTTAACACTCCGACACCTCTCATCCTATGCTGTATCTACAGTGCCCCGAACGAAAGCAAATATAAGCTATCCACAGATGACTTCGACAAACTATTGAATATGCTAACTGAATACTCAAATGAATTTCAATGCCCAAATATTTTATTGGTTGGTGACATCAACTTCGCTAATACGCATTGGCAAACCTTGCAATCAACCCAAAAACACGAACAATTAGTACTGCAGACTTTTACTGATATGAACTTTCAACAGTTTATCGAACCCCCTCATGACCAATTAGATATTGTCCTTTGCAACAACCCCGACATTATTTTAAACACCACGATAGACAACCATATGAAAAAACACTTCTCACACCAAGAAAGAGAATTATCAGACCACAACCCTTTTCTAATCACGATATCATCTCTTAGACACAATGACGAAAAAGCCACTCCCATACAACACGGATCCGACTTTCTGGACTTTGGTGTCTTCTCATTAAACAACGTCGATTGGATTACTTTAAACAAATACATTTTGGAACACCCATTTCAACCGTACTGCTACTCTAACATTGACCACTTAATCAACTCATGGTACCTCTGGCTATATATAGCACTAGAAAAACACATGAAAAAACAGACCAAACACCGTATGAACCTAGCACCTTGGATCACACCTGAAACCTCCAATATTATCAAAAGACTCAACACAGCATCAAAAAAAGTAGCCTTTAAAAATACTCATACTAATAACCGCAATCTTGAAAGACTTAAAAACCTTGTAGATCATTTATCCGAATTAGATCAGAAAAATTTCGAAGAATCAACTTTCAAGGGCAGAAATTTCTCAAAGCTCCAAAAATACTTTAAAAGCATACGAAAAAACTCAAGTACTCCAAAAACAATGTACTGGAATGAAAAAACCGAATCAACAGAGCACGGTAAAGCTAATCTTCTAAACAATTACTTCGTAAGCGTTTTTAACATTAAACAGAATGAAAACATTTTACCAATAGCTGAATTACCTGGCTCAATCAAATGCTTCAATTTCTCTGAAAATGAGATATACGACATCCTTAAAACATTAAACCTCCAAAAAGCAAGAGGACCAGATAGACTCGGTAACACAGTCCTAACCAATTTAGCAGATAGCATAACTTCATCTCTAAAATTGATTTATAACACCATCATCAACAAAGCAACATTTCCAACGATCTGGAAACTTAGCCAAATCATCCCAACTTTTAAAAATGGAAACAAGCAATCGGTCACAAACTACAGGCCCATCAGCCTGCTAACTGCAGTATCCAAAGTCTTAGAGAAACTGATCTTCCTTAAAATCTCACCAAAGATCTTCTCGCAAATCCATGACAGCCAATTTGGCTTCTGTCCTAAACGATCGACAACTCTGCAAATGCTCCAATTCCTCGACAAAATCTATGATGACTTTGATAACCCTAATATCAAGTCTCTACAGGCAATATACTTAGACTTCGAAAAGGCTTTCGACAAAGTTCCTCACGACTTGTGCATATATAAACTCAATAAATTTGGCATATCAGGAAACGCACTTAAACTATTAGCAAACTACTTAACCAACAGAAAACAGCAAGTACGAATAGGTGCGGCAGTATCCAGCCATCTTGAAGTTAGTAGCGGCGTACCTCAAGGCTCACTGTTAGGGCCAGTATTCTTCATTACATTCATCAACGATTTACCGTCATCACTCACCAACTCGTGCTATGGTTACGCAGACGATTATAAAATTGTTGCAACGAACCCTTCCCTGCTCCAACATGACCTAATCACGATCAACTTATGGTGCAAAGATAATTCCATGAGTCTTAATTTGAAAAAATGTCACAATATAATATTCAAAGACCCCCAACTTGACCTAAACATGTATCTCGGTGACCATATACTTGAAAAAACCTGTTCAGAAAAAGACCTTGGTATACAAATAACCAACAACCTAAACTGGTCAGCACACGCAAAAGTAAGAGCCCAAAAAGCAATAGGCTGCTTATTTTTAATTAAAAGAAATATTTCAAAATCAGCGAGCTTAAAAATGAAACTGAACTCCTACTGTGGATATGTAACCCCAATTGTGTCATATGGCTCACCCATATGGAAAGCAAATAAGTGTGAATTAAAAATTATTGAAGATGTCCAAAGAAAAGCTACACGTTGGATACTGTCATGTAACAACATCAACTATAAAGACAGACTGATTAGATTAAACCTGCTTCCACTGTCTCTCTACCACGAAATGCACGACATTCTCTTGCTTCATAAAATAATAAACGACCAATACAACTTCCATTGGAGACAATTTGTTCAGTTCAAAGAATCTACAGCCCCAACAAGAAGATCAACGAAAAATGACTTAGCGCATAAAAATTATCATTACGAAAAATCGAAAAGCAATTTCTGGCACAGAACACCTATACTAGCAAACAAAATTTTACAGACTCAGGAAGAAGAAGACCTGTTTGCGATGAAATACGAAAGACTCAAATCAAGCCTCAAAAACGTTTTCTGGATTTATTTCATCAGTAAATATGAGGAAAGTGTCCCATGCACATGGAGAATAAACTGCTGCAATAGCTGTGTAAACTCAAAGAAACTATAAAACTCAGTTTAAAACTCCCAACGCGGGGCATTTTAGCCCCATGGCTTTATGTCTAAATCCTTGTTTATTATTATTATTATTATTATTATGGGCAACAAAAATTGAGCAAGCTATCTATAAAGAAAGAAAGAAATAACCAAAAAAAAAATTATTTCGCCATGTACTATAACTTCAATAAAATATAAAGAACAATCAAACATTTTAGCGCTAGAGACGATACGTAGAAGGTATATGTAACTCCTACTAACAGGCCACCCTTAAAAATATAAGGAACCAATATATCAAACATTAATATACTTGATTAAAACAAAATTTCATCACCAAATCTATTTCATCACCAAATCTATTTCATCAACAAATCTATTTCCTGGGCAAACTCAATTTTACAAGCAAGTCATAACTACTGGCACTGCCATGTTATGTATAACTTTTTTTTGAAAATTAGGCAAAAACAGACAACACAAAAAATGCATAAAAGAGAAAAACAAAAAAACATGGTGAAACAAAAAAAAATAGGTGGTGATTTTGAGTATAGTGCATGTAATAAATTTCAAAATTATAATGCATAACATAGTCATTTCATTTTTAATCAGTTTTACTACTTCTAAGATATTTTTTGTAAAAACATTACTCTGCCGAATGAAATTGTATTCAAACATTCAAATTTTACACTTCCTTCGACAGAAAATTTGGCTTTTGAAATAAATTATAAATAATGTACGAAGTATAGCAAAAAGCAATCCAGCTATTGGAATTTGACCTACCACCTATTGTACTATATCACCAAAAACATTTATCGAACACTTTTAAACCAGCATTTTCTTATAAAAATTCCGACAACCAGATACTCAGTGTGACGTTCGTGAATAGGACCGACGCGCGTTCGCATTAAATGAAATTCAGCTGATAACTTGATAATAAATCATCGTATATGAAAACTTTGTAAGTAAAACCGAATCATCAAAAATCTAAAAATTGCGATAACTCGGAAGCCAATAAACATTAGAAAGTCATATTTTTAGCGTGACTAGACAACCTTATATAAGCTTGGGAGCAGTCACTAATGCTTAAAAAACCCATAAATTGAAAAAAAATTCGAAACAATCAGAAGTTAGTGAAATTCCATAACTGAACTAAGAACTGCCACGCCATAATTTCATATCTTGTTAGCTAAACTCCAATCATTTGAAAAATGGTGAAGAATTTTGTATTCGGGTGTTTTAGTTTTTTTTCTTTGTTATGTTTTCCACTTAAATAAGCTACCACAAATAATCATCGTAAAGAATTGAGTGATATATCATTTTAAAACTTTGTACTCGTAATTCAAACGGTTTTTATAAGAATTCAAAAAACTTTGCCAGTGTCGAGAAAAACCGATTAAAAAGTTTTTGATTTTTAGTCAAGTTTCGAGTGGGCGAGCAGGCTTACAATAGCTTATTTTATTAGCTTAAAAGCTTGCACTTGCTTAATTCAAGCGGTAAAAACTTAGTTTTACCCGACTAAAGTTAATTTGTTGGATTAATGTAGTGCCTTTTTGAAAACAAAAACGTCAAAAATTCAAAAAAAAACTGTCAGCAATTTGATTGAAATTTCTGAAATTTTTTTTGTTTTTCTAGTTACTTTTGTACAAAAAAGGTTTTCTAATTTGCTTATTTAAATATGATTGTCGGATATACCAACGCTCTAGTTTTTCGTTCAGATCCTTTTATCGCACTACACAGAAAAATCGACAGACTGAAAAAAATGTAATTTTAAGACAATGGTCAGAACATTCTGTGCTACTTGCACAGCAACCGGCTATCCTTGTTGATAGTTGCTTACTTCAGTAACGATCACTAACTTTGTGAGCAACCATCAAAAACGGTTGCCAGCATAATAAACAAAAAATTTATTTAGTGAAATGGCGTTTTGAACAGAAAGAGTTTAAAGCCATCAGCTTTGTAACAAAGTTCACACTTTTTCTCGTAAGCTATAGCGTTTCAGATGGCCAAATTTTCATTAAGAGCTCTAACATTCTGTAACACACTAGGTAACGTTCAACGCGGTTATGAGTAAAATTTGAGTTGATATCATGAAAAAATTCTAAATGAAACAGATAAGAAAACTGTAAAAGTTGCAATATCTCAAAAACCAGACGGTATGAAAAGGTCATATTTTGAAAGACAGACAAAATATTATAATTGATCTTTTTCAAAAATTTGAAATGACTTTTGGGAGTTCATGGAAAGTCGTTAAAACAAAAAGGATATAATTCAAACTTAAGCAACCGTCGCAAAACCCAAAAGTCTAATAAAAAGGAAAAACTATGGAGCAGAAAAACTTATAATGCAATGGATAATAATTATGCATAAATCCGTGTATTTTTTCAACATTTAGAAAACTTGTAACTGAATACTACTCACCTGTTCAGCGAGGATACTTCTCCGATGATTGTTCAATATACTAATCGCTTCTTGGTACTGTCCAGTCTTAGACTTGTGTTCCAATCTCCTCTGTTCCATCAAATCAGCCATCAAACTACTTTTCTCCTTGTAGTGTCCTGTATGGCCCGTTGGAGGGTTGTAGAAATCAACAGCCCTGTCTAATGCTGTGGGTCCATACGTATTATGTAAGTTCACAGCTAAATTTGTCCCATTCATTCGTTGCTTTACCTCCATCGTTTTGGAAATTTCCTTTTCCTTCATTCGATTGCGTAATTCGTTTGCGTTTGCCGAGCGAGCACGAAGCTCTTCGAGTAAAAACTCTCGCTCCTTCTTGAGGGCGGCGATTCGTTCACGCTGCACATCAACATCCGAGGGGGAAATACCACGGGTTAAAGATTTCGCAGAAGCTTCCATTAGAAAGTTAACAATTTAATTTAATACAACGAAAGTTTAATTTACGCACGTAGAATGGCAAGACCACCTTTCATGCGGTACGTGGTCAGAAAATTCGTGTATTAATTTGTTTGGCAGTCATAATGCTTAAAATATTTTATACTATAAGAAAACGTGCGTTTACTTCACTAGTAAGCTTCAAAAATGATTATAACTTATAAAAAATGGCAACAGCGAGAAGTGTTTACAAATCTTATAAGTAAAGAACAAGATATCAAATAAATGATGACATTAAACTATCTCCATAACAAGATTACAATAAAATAGAAATCTGATATGGCGATTGCCGAAATATATATCTACAAAATTAAAGTTTGAACGAGACAAAAACTAAGTCCATTACATTAGTTCCTGTGTGCCCACATTTGATGTGTGCACCATTCTGCCATTCTTTATTTGCTGCTTTGAGTTTTTTGTCAAGACAATCAAAAAAATTGTACGAATCACAGTTTTTAATACTCGTTTCAACGTTACTTTTCGTTTCCGCAGATTGCATAACAAATGATGCAATATTTTGGTCGATTACAGCACCCGCCGACTCATTTGGCCCGTCTTGACCGTCGGTTCCCGCAGATAAAAAAGATAATTCATGTTTGGAGAATATTTCGAAATTTTCTGTGTATGTTTTGAGCGCTAAAAGTGTAGCGTGTTGGTTCCGACCTCCGATACCATTTCCAGTCACATTCATGGTTGGTTCACCAGCAACAATCAATAGAGTTTGGGGTTTCTTTGAGTCTGATTTTGGCTGAAAGGATAATTTGAGAAATTCCTCAGCAAATATGTCGGACTTGAGAGCCGTTTTGAAAAATGGGTTCGCTGTTTGAAATTCTGAGGGCTGATTGTCATTGCTATCTTCACCTGAAGCAAAAAAACTATGCAAATTAAGGCGAACCAGAAAAAATTTCAGGCTCTAACCTATAGTACAAAAATGCATGTTTAAAATATCTTTTCGACTATTATTTTTCTTTTTCAATTGAGGAGGTAATCTAACGAATCTTGCAAATGTCAAACTCATGTTGGAAAGTGATTTTATTTGAGTTCAAATCAATGTTTACGCTGCATCAAAAAATCCAGCTAGATAATTCATCAAGTTCAAAGAAGTACGAAAACATATTATCAGTCAAAATCGAAACTTTCACAAAAAAAACGAAGAATCAAAGCATAGCCAATAGGAAGCAGTAAAAAAAATTATTTGCAAAAACTTCCAAATTAAAAAGAAAAACAAACCCAGAGGCGAAGCCGAGCATCGCACCACTTGCGATATAATACATAACAGCCACTAAATCGAAAAAAAAATCAGAAATGCCGAAACCTATCAGAACGAGTGAATAAAAGGTATCAAAAACTCACACCCAGACAATTGAAGGTAAAAATAGAATAAAAAACTTAGTAATCTGTAATTATGCCGAAAATACCTGAGAGGAAACCCTTTAAGCAGAACAAAATAAAAAAAAGACTTATAAACTAATTAAAAATTTTTATCCCCCATTCTCATTGAAACAGACAAGCACACTGAAAGTTTTTTCGCTGATCAAACGACGGAATCTGAGACCAATAAACCAACAAATATAAAAAAAAGCCGAAACAAATCAACCCGAAAAAAAAAGAAAATGAAACGGAAAAAAAATGAAATTAAAAAAAAACTTAAAAACTGATAAAAAGGTGTTTAAGTCCAGTCCCCTTCATTACACAGACGTGCATATTTTTTTTGTTTACTTAAGGACGCAATATGAGGCCAATAAGCCGAAATAATATGGACAGAAACTTATTTAACAAAGAAAAAGGAAAAAAAGAAATTAGAAAAAAACAAGTTGGTAAAATTACAACCAGAGTTCAGAATTCAACGTGCTGAAAATGGAAATCTTGAAATTGGAGATAATCCTGTGGACAAAGTTGTTCAGATGAAAAAAGTCCAAAACCCGATTGACACCAAAAAAGTGTCAATCTTTATAGAATAAAATAACTTAAATTATTTTTGCAAGGGTATTTGCTTATCGCAAGGTTGATCATACGAAAATTATTTGAGTTTTATTAATCTATAATATACTTTTTTCGTGACAACTAATCCGAGTTGAGAACACTTCATGAATAGCAGCAATTTGTAGAAATATATGTAATATAATATGTACTCTCCCTTTTTCAACGCTCCTTTTCAACTTTTTTTAGGATAACTGAAATATGCCTGATGGTCGGTCGTTTGTTGCAAAAACGTTTGTTCAAAAAAATTTCAACCGTTTGTGTACTATATCGTTGGTTGCAAACGAAAGAATTGAGTTTTGATTTAAAACTTGCAATTTCCGGATTCGAAATAAAGCTTCTAGTTTTTTGCAACACAGAAGTAATGAATATTTTAAACACAGAAGCGAAGCTGTCACTTGCAAACACAAGAGATAACTAGCCAAGAAATATCAAAGAAAAAATGCTTAATAAAAAAAACAGGGATAGCCGGTTGCTGTGCAAGTACCACAGAATTATAATAATTATTATGATCATGATAATTATAAAGATTTTACATCAAAATATGAAATGAATCTTCCCCACAAATATGGATTATGACGACAGTTAGAAAGTCAATTTTCAACGGTTGTTGCACAGGCAGAGAACTACCCAGGTGCAGGAACAGTTTCCGTTGTACTTGGGACGGCAATGGAGCCAATAATAGTTTAGCAGTCTGTTTTTGAGACCATCGGGTAAAAAGAAACTGACGCGGTCGTTGATGAGGTTTGCCAAGCGGCATGCCCGGTACCAAAATTTTGTTCTCGTTTTGTCTACACGGACTCTGGGGTTATCGAATATTTTGCCTCTTCTGGCAGAAAAAGAATTGAAGTTCTGTCAATCGAGCTGGTGCCGGTCTGATCTATTCTTTCAAAAAATCGTGCATCTCGATATATTGGGACAGTGGTAACAAGTTGAGCTGGTCTATGCGCTCGGTGTGACGCAGATCAGTGTATGTTGTTATCCAGTTTGTTGCTTTGCGTTGAATCAATTCCAGCGTCTTGGTCTTGTCCGGAAACCATGATGCACTTGCGTACGTTGGTTGTTTTGGCACTACGATTCACACAAATTTCGCCGGGTGCAAATTGGTCGGATGACGATCAAGTCAACATGTGCAGGACTGAAAGCGACTTCCGACTTGTCTCGTTTATGTGGGTGCCCCAGGAACAGGTACTTGATATTGTAACACCAAGGTCTTTCTCGAGCAATACTTCATTGACTTCCCCTAATCTTGGCGGTTGGCAGACAGTTCGTGCGAACGTCAAAAAGTGGCCTTCGTATTGCACTAGTCGGTCACCTTGTCTAGGTCATCTTAGGTTTACATATTTTACCAACCGGGTGAATGCTCAGTAGTTTGGTATCATCTTCAAATCTGAAGAGTTGGCATTTAAGGCCTTCTGGGAAATCGATCACATTGATGAGAAAGAGTAGTGGTGCTAAGAGGGAAACTTGAGGCACCCCACCAAGGACGATGAGGAGGGACAACCTGAAAATGTTGACATCGACAAACGGTTGGCGATATGAGGGATATTCTTCGATGATACCCAGAAGTTTGCCTCCTACACCGTTGCCGGAAAGTTGATCAGTAGTAAGGTGTTCTCAAAAATCTCGAAGGCTTTGGCGATGTTCAGGCAGGTGCTCTACGTCTCTTGCGGCGTTTTCCGTGTCTATGCTTTCGTAGACATGGCCCCTATGTAATCCAAATTGAGATGCTGGTAGCAGCGGAGCAACAAGCTCGTATAGACAAACGATACGCCCGATACGAACTTGCATTTTTTAAACACCTTCGATATTATGTTTAGCACTGACTGGCCGACAGTTTTTAACGAAGGTTTTGTCAACCTTTCTGTGGATCGGCTAGCTTTTTTCCAATTTGGAAGGACGCTGGGAGCCAGCAGGCACGCTTGATGATGCTAAAGATACAGGTAAGCTACTTCCAGAGTTTCGGTGACTAATTGAGCACCAATGGTAGTAGGTTTTACAAAGGTGAAGCTGCGCTTCGCAAATGAGCGAGGAAAATGCAAAAAAGTGCTATAATCAGGCAGAACAAAGTGAAACAAGGAAAAAATTCAAACTACACTTTCAAAAAAAAATTTCGCCGAAATCACGAGCATCACGTTCACACATCTGCTCTATGACCGCATGTAATTCTAGTTACACTAGCCACCCATAAAGCAGCTACACTTTCTGTAAACTTGCCAATGTTATGCAGCATAAATTCGACCAAAAAAACTATTTAATTGTTCCGTTGATTAGAAGTATTACGCCCTCCCACCTGCACCATAGCCACTCGGAATTAAGTAAGTGACTCAGATAACGTTGAATCTACCTGTTATAATTTTTAAAATCATATATTGTACTGATAAGGAAATAAGTCATTTCAAAAAATCGACTTCACGCTAAAAATTAGTGTTTCTCTGCTTTAGCAGAGGATTAACAGCTTAATTATAGGAGAAATATACTAGTTGCACTTTCAATTGAAGTCATTATCTCAGATTTGGTTGGGCAATTCCGAAAAATTGACAAGATTCCAAAAATCTATCAAAAGTTCAAAAATGTGAGTTTTTCTAAATCCAAATAATTTTCTCAATTGAAGCATGGGAGTAATTTATGCTTTTCAGACCCTGATTTTTAGATTGAAAATTTCTTTGTCCTGATTTTTTAGATTGAAGTTTCAATATCAAAATTAGCAGGTAGTTTTCGAGAAAAAGGACGAAATTTCTTAAGCAAACTGTAAAAACTTAAGAAGGCCCTTTCCGAAGTCCACATCGAAATTTCCACCAAAACAGAGTAAAACAAATTACCCAGGGAAAATTAAGCACCATGTTAGTTTAAATGAACTATCAGCCTCAGAAGCAACATGAATTATCAGAATAAACTTTCAAAAAACAGGCAAAACTTCGAAAATTGGACGTTTTGTAATGTTATATTTGTTTTCAAAAGGCAGAGCATACCTGCTTGCGCAGGTACATTTGCATTAATGATTTTTTCTTTCGGTTAAACCATTGATCTCCAATGTGGCAGGGTGTTTTTTGAGAAAAAACTCTGAACCACTAAGCAAAATGTCGAAAAATGAATTTAATTGAGTCCATAACTTTTTTCTACCGAATTTAGGGAACAATTGCTTGAAAAGAGAGATCCCTATGACTTTTTTATTGAAAGTTCTTAATATGACATAGCACTCAAATCTCTCCGATGATTAATTGTAGAAGCTGATTTTGGGTGGGAAACAAAAAAAGAAAAACAAGAATAGCCGGTTGCTGTGCAAGTAGCACAGAATGTTCTGACCTCATTTTCAAAATTTTTTTCTTCTTCAACTTAGCGTCTTTTTTGTACGTCGTGTAATAATGCAAAAATACGAAAGCGTAGAAAATGAATTACGCAAAGTGAATTAGGCATAAACGATTACAATGTCATCAAAATAATTTTTTGCACTGAAAATGTTTAAAATTTATGGAAGATTTTTTTTTGCCAGAAAAGATCTAAGTGAAGCTTCCAAAACTAGTTTAACTTTTAGTAAAATCAAGTTTCTTTAGCCTAAATTTCTAAATTTTATAAATAACAAACGTAAATCGCTTTACTCGCTAAAGCAAAAATTTCGAACCGGTTTTTATGAGGAAAACAGAAAAAAAGTTGAAAAAAGAGAAAAAAACAAGGATCAAAAAATTTGAATACATAGACAATTTTTGCTTTAATTCAAAATTTGCTGCTGTCTTTCTCGACATTATGCATAAATAAGCTATTGTAAACGGCTTAAAACAAGCATGAATAAGCCTGTTCGCTGGCTTTCGTCGCTCGAAGTTAGACGAAAAATCAAGAACTTCAAGCCAGTTTTTCTGAACACTAGAAAAAAATGTTGAGAATTTTTTAATGTGGTTCAAATCACGTCTGAAAGGACTTTAAAATGATATATTACTCAACCTAGTCCGATTTGTGGCACCTGATTTTGCGTGGAAAACAAAAAGAAAAAACTAAAACAAACCCGAAGACCAAGTTTTTCCCCATTTTCAATGGTCGGAACAATAATATCATATATTACATGTGCAGAAATAGATTCTTTTTTTTCTCATTTGTCAATTAGGCTTTGACTTTAGTGTGAAAATATGTGTAATAGAGGTATATAATATATGTAACTGTCTTACTGACTCGGAACGAAAAAAATTTCTAGCCACTCATAAAGCGGAGAACACATGCAGTTGAACTGCCCACGCTATCAAACAAAAATGCTACCAAAATGAGCCTTCTTATTTAATGCGAGTTGGATTGGAAAAAAATTTGGTCTCAAAATATAACAAAATGATAGCAAGTTCGCGTGAGTAAATATGATACCATACTTTGAACCCATGCGAAGGTTCTTTAAGGTACAAATAAGGTGCACCATGAAGAAAAAGCACACACCGTACGGCATAGTTACATAACTCAAGCTCTACATCTTTCGCCGCTTCTTTATCTTTCTCAAGCTTCAGATTTTCAGATTTCAACAAAAGTATAATGGGCGAGCGAAACTCTTAAGAATATTGTGCCAATTACAGGCACATAAGTCTCGAGTTATTACGGTATGTAGCTACTCAGAAACAACTCATGTATTTGGAAGTTAAACAAATAGCACAAATGAACCAATTAGACTACAAATGAACCAATTACGAACTGAGAGGTGACATTGTCCGCAATTTGAAGTCAAAACAGAGTCATAAATAGCCAGTCATAAATCAATTCATAAACAAATCATCAATCAGAAAATTTAAGAGGTGCTTTATTAGGAATCATTTACCATGTCATAACCTATAAAAACTAAGAATCAAAATGTGCATCGAAAACAGAATATTCAACTGTTTTGGCTTTGAGACTTTTCAGACACGATAGCAAACTAATTGTAAAAACATTTTGGAGCAAAACGCTATATTTACGTAATATTTTACGTTGTTACTGACGCAATTTTGAATTTAAGTGTATATTTACGTAATTTTGCCCGTTGTTACTGACGCATTTTTGAATTTAAGCGTCAACAAAAATGATATCTTCGATTGATTATTTCGATTTGTTATGACTTCTAACTTGTTATGAGTCACAACGTCGACAAGTTTTTGGTGACTTGTGTTAACTTTCAGTCTGCGAAAAACGACTTGGGAACAGTCTGTTTGGTACAGGTAATAACTTAATTTATAATTGGCAAAAAGAAGACCAATAATAAACTTTTTTCTTTTATCCAACACAGAACGAAATCAATTCAACCAGTGGCCTTTCTAGGATTTTCTCGAGGGGGAGGGGGGATTTTTTATAAACCCATCGAAAAATTTTTTGACTGATTGTAGGTCGGCCAATTTCATTTACCGAGCTCTCCTCAAACACTATTAAGACCCTAAACTGTTTCCGCAGGCAAGTTTTGGAAAAAAACAAAAATCTCCTCTTTTAGGAAACTTTAGAAGGCTTTGACCAAAAACTGCGTTTTCGGCGAGTGCTTTCTCCTAAAAATTAGAATATATCGGCGAAAAAATTTAAGCTTGGTCATTAAAAAATGGCTGTCGTAAAAAAGTACTAAAGGGGTAGCGAGGGAGCAACTACTTCGAGCTCAACATCCAATATTTTAATCATGATGGCCGGCTAAATTGTAACAACGGTTTAAGAAACCTCCACTTTTTTCAAGTACAAACAAATAAATGGACATTCTCCGTTATATTCTATTGGCATGGAGGGTTTTTGATCAGGATTTGGGCAGCAGTAGTGAACATCAATATCGAGACATGAGTGTGGATAAAAAAGGGAACAGGGTAGCCACCCCCAGTAGAAACCAGATAGCACTAGCAGAGATGAAGTCAGTGGCCAATCAGGAGCCGAGGCTGAAGAACTACTTGACAACACAGAGACACGCTTGTTGTTAGTTAACTTTTATGTGTTCCATTTGAATTTTCAGATGGAAACCTAACTATTGCTTGAAATTTTAGACCGAAATTCATTAAGATTCATATCGTTTGTTTTTCTCCATTGTCGATCATTACCCTAATAAAATAGCTTTCTTTGTACAGTTAATTTAAAATAAAAATTGGTAAAAATTTTAGATTCAAAGCGTTGTCTAGAGCTTTGGATTTAAAAAATTTACTCCTCTACTTATAAGATCTTTTGAATTGATGCGAGTTTTTTTGATATGAACGATATAGTCATGTAGGGAATATCTTGGTGGTTGGATGAGGAAGAATAATAATCTCCATGGATTTTCAAAATTTTCATAATAGCAACTCAGTAGAAAAAGTTTTCTTACGAAGGTTGTAAGCTAGTCATTGAAGAAAATGCTTCGGTAAATAGATGAACTTTAAGACCCTTCGCAGCGGTATCATTTTCTAGTGTGCAGGCAAGACTGTTGGCCTGAAAATGCCCTCAAACCAGAGCTCATTCTGCCACCAATAGTGGTACCTGACTCTAGCTATAACCCCAAATACAGTAAACAAATCTTGATGATACACACAGTAGTTCTATCCTTTATTTTTTTCTTTCTCTTTTCCTGACTACAAATTGATATCTCTATTTGAAAAACCTTAATAACCAATTAGTTGTTGAAACAGAAAATATTATCTCTTTTTTTTCAGATATCCCTGTTGAGCCGCCCATTCGACGCCCGGTAAGAGATCTTTTTTGGAAACTCTTTCCAATCTATAAAACTTTTCATAATATTCTTTTTTTAATTTTAGCAAATTCTAAAATATATGCCAAGCATAGACGATAAAGGTCAACTGCCGGTTCCAGCCAAAGCACTGGACATGCACCGAGCATACCCCAACCACCACCTGGACATTTCTCAATTCAAATGGAAATGAGGATATTTTCCAAAAAAAAACAGAAAACAACAGTACAAAGAAACTTTTTCATAGACTTGCTAATTTTTTCCCCAGCTAAATCACAGTAGATTATTCGAAATGAATGATTTAGTAGCTGATATATTGATAAATCTCAAAAATGAGTTTATCTTATTTAGGACGGTTTGATGTTTGAAAAAGAGTAAAAAGAGTATAGTAGAAGTGACAGTTGGTACCTTATTTTATTAGTCGTTGTTCCACACACTACGGCACAAGGTTGGTACACAGAAACTTGCGACGCGTTGGGAAGATGTTTTCGTATTATAACACAGGCTGCTTTGCTTGTGTTAAAGAATGGGAACAACACTTATGTTCATTCCCGACAAGCTTAATCAACTAACACCTATTCATACAAGATCACTTTGTGCAGATTTAAGAACAATTGAAATATCTACAGAATACTGACTGCTGTGACTTGTTGTTCAAACTTTTGAGGAAAGTGGTGGAATAATTGTGCTCAGAGTGGATTTTTCTTTCTCAACAAACAAATTTCGCCTTTTGGCTAGCCATTTTTGACGAGGTTTTTGTTTAAATCATATGAAAGCCCTGAGCTCAACTCTAAAAAGATCTTTTATATGCTTGCATTAGACTAACTGCGGTTAGGCTTCTCGTTTTAATTTATAATAGTTTCGAAATGCTAAATTTTTAAGCGTGACGAAATATCCCGAGCTAATAATTGTTCCAAATTGAATTGAGTCAATTTAAGAACATATTATTTCGGGTGCATAGACATTTATGTCCCAGACATTTGTGTCCTTGAAAAAACAGTCTAAAATTATAAAATCGTACCAGACATTTATGTCCCAGACACAGTTTTTTTTCCGAAACTGTTTTTTGCAAAAATAATTCTTTGATTTGACCTTGTGCTCTTTAATGCGTTGTTCTTTTGAGATTATTTGATCGCTCAATAATTAGATTCTATGCGTACCAATTAGCCATAAAACAGTCAAACCCAAAAGACAAACCTTTCAAGAACATTTTGAAATTTAGAAGCGCGCTTGAACGAGCGGTGAAGTGATAAGTTTCAAGATCAAAAGGTCGGAAATTCAAATCTCGGGTCCGACAAAATTTTTTTCGTAATTTGGTCCAAAAATTGATATTAAAAAACCCAAAATTGGATAAATTAGGGCAAAGTTGAAATGGTTGACTCGAATGCGCCAAAAAAGAAAAAGATGGGAAAGCTTGATTACACTGATAGTTATGCCATTTTCAAAACGGGTCTAGCTCAATTTTGGAATCTGGGAAAAAGTTCAAGTTAGAAAAATCTATTGAAAATTTGTTGCTCTTCAATATCAGCTTTGGAAAATAAATTGACTTTGCACTATAATTTGATGTTGCTGCTGCACCCTTTTACGAAACTCAGAAGTTTACTTGGGTCGTAAGCCGCAGCTAATTCGGAAAGGTTTTTGTCAAAATTGCCATAAAGAGGTTTTTCAAAACCTGACACTCTTTGCCCGGTTTACATTTTTTTCGATCAAGACTTCGGCGTTTTTCTGCTCGACCTGGAATTTTTCTATGAGTTTGGGAAATTATGGGTGCTTGGCGTTCACGAGTTTAACGAAGTTGCTCTTCCAACCAGCATCATTGTTGGTTCTGGGACGCCCGGTTATCACACGTTGATGACAACTCCAGCTGTCAACGGCAAATCTGGAGATTTGAGGTGTTCTATGTGCCGCTGACAGTCGGCCAATGTAATTGCCCTCAAAGTAATTGAAGATTGGGTGGGATGTTTCAGAGCAAGTTTTCTGAGAGTTTGAAAAGCAGTAGAAACATCACTTACTGGCAGGAAAGCGGTACTCAGCAGCATTCGGACCCGCTCGCGGAATTATCGATCTATTTTATATTTCCGTATTTTAAAATTTGTATTCCCATTAGACTGAATGTGACGCCAGAAGTTTTGACTCGAATGGAAAGAGCAGTATTAAACTTTTACATTTTCGGATTTTAAATAAAACGCATTTTGACCGCTATTACGAAAGCAATGGTTGCTCGTTTGGGAAATTTTATGTCAAAGCAGCTTAAAAGGCGATAATAGGTTTCTTCTATCTTGTCTGGAAGCAATGCATACACAATAGGGGTCGAAATTCCCTCGAATGATGCGTAGATGGTGTATTTCTGAAAGTACAATTTAGGGGCCGCAGAAAAGGTGCCATGGCAGAACCAATCTTCAGCGCCACTGAGAAGATCGAGTCCTGGAAGAGTGGTGAAAACCATTATTTGCTTGTTATCATTAGGTCCAGAGTCAAAATGAAGGAAACGCTCGCCGCTGTGAGTCACTTTCAGCAATTCTGGCAGTTCAAAGTCCGTTAAGGAATTTGGTTCCTGCATTCTGGACCATTTTTCCTGTTTTGCTCTGTTGGCCGTCATCTGGTTGGCCGAATAGCTCGGGATTACTGCAGCAGTCTCTCTGTTGATGTCTCTTTGGACTGAAAGAATTGTTTGACGTGGTGTCCTATCGGGAGCTTATCAAATTAATCCGGCCATTCACTAGTGTGGTCATTAACTTGGCTGGAAACCAAATGTCTATGATACTTTTTGCATTTTCGATTGTTTTTGCGGGACATAAGTGTCTGCGACACAATTGTCCTGATATGAGTATTTCCGTATACGATTCAAAATTTAGCATTTAATTTGCAGACGATGAACGGAGCAAAGACTCTTATATAGCTCTTTTTTTTTCAGGAAATGGTCTTAAAAATTTTAACTGCACAAGTGCATTCATACAAAACATTGCGTTTATGCATGCTCTTGCACTTAGGTATTTATGCACTTTATGATTTCAATTCACATTCATCTGCTAGAAGTAACACAAATTGCGCTTTCCACTAACGAAAGCGGAAATGGAACAAAAAACCGTATTTTGAAAGTGGATTTTATTTTTCAGATTTACCCGCGGAATAAAATTTTCACATTTTGTTGCATATTTCTCAAATTGAGTTAATTCTATCAAAAAAAAATTAATAATAAATTTTTTGGAATTCAAAGAGGGTTAAGGCCATATAATTTTACTCTAAATTCGAGAAAATTTTTCCAAAAAAAAATTTTTTTTGTTACCTTGCGTCCGTTGGCTCTTTTTCAATTGTCCGTTGGCGATGTTTTATTTGATATTGGCAGCCCATAATTAATAGGTTATCAAAATTTTATTTAGCAGAAACCTTTATTTAGCAGAAAGGGTACAGTAGAACATAAAGGGCTGTGGCCTGATATACGAGTAGTGTTGTTTGTCAAGTGATGAGGGTTTGAAAATTGACTATTCGGCTAAACTGGAGATAACTAAAGCACAGTATATTCGAAAAGTAAGCGGCGAATCATTCCAATCTGAATTGAGGCAGACAACTCTTTTTATTAATACGTGAGACGCAAAAAACACAAAGGGACAAATGTATTTTTTGAAAAGACAAAAAAAATTGGCTTTCCTCTTCAAAACATTAAAATAAGAGCAATTTGAGAAATCAGTCACAGAGTAGCCAATGTCATTAGTTTTTGAAAAACAATCCATGAGCTATTAACAAACATACTTCAACATCAAGAGTTCTGACATAGGAAGCTCTAATTGAGCAACTGAATAGGTTGAATGAAATAATCTTCTATTTTTTTTAAAATTTCCCCACATGTATTAAGGTACAGTACAGGTTGTTAACCTTAAAAATATCTTCTAATGAAAGAAAAGACTTGCAAACATGATTATTGACACTATAAAAAATGACCGGAAAAAGAGTGCATTAAAGGCAGGGGCGGATCTAGGATTTTCTCGAAGGGGGGGGGGCGGATTTTCAAAAAATTTTCGAAAATTTTGACGACTTTTTTTTAGGTAGACCAAATTGATTTAAAGAGCTCTCCTAAAGCACTAAAAAGACGTTGTTTTGGCCAAATCTTCTGCGCCGCAGGCAAATTTTTAAAAAAGAGGTCAAAAAAGCCATTTTTGGGCACTTTTTGGAAAATTTTGCAAAAAATCGGGGTTTTTTTGGCGCATGCTCCTCTTCAAAGTTAGTGTATAGTGGCGCCAAAGGCGCCTTTAGAAAAATTTTAGGGTCGGTAGGCCAAAAATGGATTTCTTAAAAAGTATCAAAGGGAGACCCTTTGGGTCGGCAGGGCGTCGAATCCCTGAGGTGGGGACGTCCCCCCCCCCCCCCCCCCTAAATTCGCCCTGATTAAAGGTATATTTCATCCGCAGCATCTTTAAAAACTTTTGAGGTTGCGGACCACATAATATACTCACATTTAAATTTAAAGAGGTTGGGACTATTACGCCGGCGGGGCTCATCAACCATTAAATAGTTATATACTAAGTATTGTTAAAAACTCATGTATTGGACTTTTTTCTTTTTTCAATAATTGAAGATTTTGTCACAAACCAGATTTTTTCAAGAAATGGAAAGAGGTAATAGTGAAAAATAAAGGGGTAGTTAAAGATTACCATGGATCTAACCTTGCAGATGCGTCATTATCTCCAACAACATGCTGAATATTATGTCTACCATATCATGAACTGATCCCTGATACGTGCTAGTTAAACACAGACTGTGGTCAAAGTTCCACTTCGAAACAGAATCATCTAGCACTGCTTTGACCGCCATAGTGTTGCTGCAGACTATCAAATTTTCCACTGGAATTGTTACCTTCTCCAAAACCAACCTGCAGGCAATGAGAAAATGAAAAAAAAAACTTGTTTGAAACAAAAAGTCCTCAACGTTTGGTCTGTTTTAAAACTAACTAGCGAAACGTTGAAATTGCGAAATTGGCATGATAGATATAGAAAACATAGCCTACAGACAGTCAGAAAAAAGTCAATGAACGCAAGTCAAAAGAAAAATACTGACTTGTTTTTTGAAAAAACATATATCAACTTTCGAATTAAAAAGAAAAAAAAATAGATGCCCTTCAAGCTCCTTGAATTTCTGAGTGACGCAACTTTGATTAAATTAAACCAATTTTAAAAAATGAATCAATAGTTAAAATTTTATTTCTGCTGGAAAATCTGAAAATTAAATTCCACTATCGAAGCTAGAATTTGATGACATTTTTAGTAACCTTTACACTTTTGCTGTTCGATAGTGGAGTTTGCCTTCCTTTTAACAACGGAAATGAACTGAACTAAGAAAAAAGTCAAACCGCGAAACAGTAAATTTGAGTCTAAACAATTTTTAAGAGACTTTTTCCTGAAAAATCATCAGCACCTACATAGGAGTCTGAACTATAAAGCAGTCTAAACTATGTTCATTGACTCTTTTTTAAATTCAAGATTAATTTTAAATGGTTAATATAAACACAGTGATATCCTGAATAATCTCATAAGGAGTTGTGTGCAATTGACATTAGGATTCAATGTAATTGGTATCTGAACAAGTAAGTTTTCTGATGTGAATTACAAAAACAAGAGAAAATTGCTATACCGACAATGTTCAGACACTTGCAATTGTAATAGAAAACACTTGAAGATGATTATTCTTCATAGCCCCCGAAAACTGGCATGCAACTGACGGCAGGACCATATTTCCTTGGGAAGGGGCCGTGTCATCCGCTTCGCCGTAACATTGGGCACCCATCGATCGTGACCGATACGGAATTCGAGCCGCGCCTCTTGCTCACTTGGCTACGGCTGCTTGAGGGTGATTATTATGCGAAATCAGAAAACGATTATTACACATAGGTCGGAGAAAACTTACCTTGATGCAACAAGATTGGAAGCCGCTCTTGAGATAAGACTATCTGAACATCCGTACAGTTTCATAATTGACTGCAGCTTCTCAACTGAAGATTTCCTGGAAAAAATTGATAACAATTTAAATAATTTTATGTAGTCGCCAAGTAGTTAGCGAGTTACCTATGTCCTGGAAAAAAAAGTCCTGCGAATTACCCCAGCCGTGAAGATTTCTTGGAAAAAATTGATGACAATTTAAATAGTTTTATGTAGTCGCCAAGTAGTTTGCGAGTTACCTATGTCCTGGAAAAAAAGTCCTGCGAATTACCCCAGTCGTGAAGATTTCTTGGAAAAAATTGATAACAATTTAAATAATTTTATGTTGTCGCTAGGTAGTTTGCGAAAACTGTGGCAAGTTAGGAACTCAAAATACTGCTATTACTCGAGTGTTTTCTACGTTTTTTTTTTCAATTTGAAAACAAACGTACAAGATACCCATTTAAAAGCGAATGGTACAAAAATCTATCGCACAAAAACCAGATGTCAATTTTTTCTCTTGCTTTGCCTTTTTTAAAGTTTTTTTAGACACAAAATGAAAGTTACGAAATAAATCTATTTGTCCTACTTCATGCACAAAATTTTCATCAGATACTCTTCTTGAAAAGAAAGATATTTTTTCCAATAGTGAAATTTTTGAGTTCAGAACTGCCTAAATGAAAATTTTAACAAGCTCGAAAACTTAAATTGGTTGCAAACAAAATATAGAAAGAAGTTAACCTTTTTTTTTCTAAAACCAGATACAGTTCACTTAAGCGTGTAGTATACGATCCGAAAAGCCAAGAACAAGCTTTTTTTCCGATGATTAAAATTTTCAAAAAGAAACATACAAAAAAGCAGCAGTTGCTGGAAAAAATCCGGCATTCTTTAAAAAAGAAGGGAAACATAATTAATTCAGAAGGGAAACATAACGCGATCGTCAGCGTATGCAGTTTGCGTACTCATTATGCAGTGTACGCATAAATCGAAGCGCGGCTTTAGGATTTCCCATATAAGATCGAACGAAATTTAAAGAGTTTCACACTGGAGAAGGATCGTTCGGCAGTGGCAACGATAACTTCAAGAATAGCTCAAAAGTTTCCAGCAGCGCACACTCTACTGGCCTTGTCGACTTATGGCATCGGTGAAAATTGCAGGTATATTGCTTAAAGGGGAATTGTCACATATTTCTCCAGACTTACAACTCGCTCACAAAGTCGCCATCTGGTAGCACGTACTGAAATAGGTCGTTAAAGTCATCAAAAACCTCAATTGCATCTATGTCCGAAATCCAGCAAGGGAGAAGCTTGCACATTTTAGAGCAAGACAGAAGTGGAGTGTATTGTCTGCGTCGGGGTCAAACTCTCCGGGCGGAGGGGGGGGGGGGGGGGGTGGGTAGCGCGTCCCCCTACCTATAATACGCGACTGCACTCTGATTACACACAAAAAAGTCTAGCACTCAGTTTCATAACACAACAATTGCTAATCGATGATTATGAGAACTGGGGGCTAGCAATATAGACGGCTCCAACAAAACGAAATTTATACGTGAGCAAAATTTATTGCATAAGCAAAAACTTTTTGAATACATAAAGAGTTTATAATCCCATTGCATATCAAAACTTTTATAATAAATAATTTATAAAACATTAATCCAATTTTGAGAAACTATTTTTAAAATGCATAAACTATACAATTGCCTCATTCCAAGAATTAGCTTGCATTTTAGCAAGCGCGAACGAAAGTTAATTGTAGTCAGTAAACAAATTTCGGAGTGCAGCCTGTATTTAGGGTAGAATCGCTCATGCGCGAAGGTCCGAATGCGCGAAAATGTAAATCAGCCAATCAGATTTCAATAATCTAAAATTTGGAAAGAAAGTAAGCATTTCCAGGGACTGGGGTATTGAGATTGGCCGAATATAAAAACGGCAGAAATATGCAAAACTTTAATATTGTCATTGACCGCAGCAAAATTGGGCCAAGTTTTACATTTCAAGGGTTTCGTAATGAAAGAAGCAAACTGTTTCTTCGTTTCTTCTTTTTAATTGAATGGCAACTGCTTCTTTTTAAAAATTGACATTCAGCTAATTTTGTTTTCGGTTTTTCGCACACAAGTTTTTTCGCGCATTCGATCCTTCGCACCCGTATTTAGACAACCGCGTATTCTTACTCGTCAGTATTTAGACAAAGTAAATACTCAATTCTGATTGCTCAAAACGAATCAAAATCTGAGCGCCAAAATAAACAAGAAATTGAAAACTAACGAATTAATATCTCAATTGGCCGAAAGTTGAAAATAAATTATCGCAAAATAATGGAACTTTCTTTCGTGAAAGCCCCGTTCAGAGGGGAAAACTTACTTTTTGATGGTTATTTTTATAAGTAAAATCGAAAAAGAGAAAATATTCAATACTATAAATGCGTTATCGATAGTTGCCCGTCCCGATTAACTCTCGAAATTTCAAATAACAAAATTATTAATAAACCTGCAACTCAGCCCCACTTGCCCCCAGAAGATCGCGTGTCGGAGCAAAAATTTAGGGAAAATATCAACGAAAAAATTGAAAAAACCCAGTTGTCCCCCTGAAAACAATTTACGAAAATCAAGTGCAGGAAACAGATGAAAAATATTTACCGCCAGCATTCAGACCAGTACGAAGAGCAATGAGCCGAACCCGCGAAAAAAAACATTTGCAACAATTCAAGGACTCGAATTTTTGGTAAGATCGAAAAATATTTTGGGGAATGGAACGCTCAAAACGGCCCCCGACCGTCCTTAGAGAAAATATCACCGAAAAAATTGAAAAAAACCCAGTTGTCCCCCTGAAAACAATTTACGAAAATCAAGTGCAGGAAACAGATGAAAAATTTTTACCGCCAGCATTCAGCCCAGTACGAAGAGCAATGATCCGAACCCGCGAAAAAAAAATATTTACAACAATTCAAGGATTCGAATTTTTGGTAAGATCAAAAATATTTTGGGGAATGGAACGCTCAAAACGGCCGCCGACCATTCTTACAGATTGATACAGTTTTCGGATCGAGTGAAAATTGGAAAGTACCGGTCGTCTGGGCATTTCATGCCAAAAAGTGAAGAAACATACCAAGAAAATTTCGAGATTTTGACCAAAAAATGCCAATTTTTGTTGGTTTCACTATACCCAGTGTATTTTCCGAAAATTTTAGGAACCCGGATTTTCGAGAGAATATAAAAAAGATTCGACCCTGCACTTGATAGCTTGAAGACTATTCAGCTTGCCTTTTTTACCGTTGATGAGCTGATTGTATGTTTCCAAAATTATCAGTCGGAAATATCGGAAATTTTTTCTCGACACCAAAATCTTAAAACTTTTTTTCAGTACATTACTGAATTTTGGATAAGTGGTTACGTCCCCTTTGTTATGTGGAATGTTTTTGACGGACGATACCCTGACAACTACCAACAAATGCGAAAATTGGAATATGAGATGGAACAAAGAAGTTGGGGTCATTCGGTCAAATTTTTGGAATTTGCTGAAAAAATTCAGTGCCCAAGAAATCGAGTTTCGCATGCAATTACGAAGAATTTCGCGTGGCGAACCAGCCCGGAAAAAACCACAAAAATATCAGTTAATGGACGAAAAAATAATTCGCCTGAAAAGTTCTTATCTGGGGGGTCACTTGTCATCGAAAATGTATTGGGAGGGAGTTGCAGTCATATGTCAAAACTTTTGAAAAACTATGAATTTTCTCAAACTATTAACTTTCTGTCGGCTTAAATTCATTCTGCCTAAAATATCGTTTCAAATTTTGTCCAAATACTTCATTTTCGTGGGTGATTTTTATTTTTGCTTTCTCTATTCTGATTGGTTAATTCAATTTTTGTCTACATACTGACGAGTCTGAATACGCGGTTGTCTAAATACTGCTATGTAACTATAAATTTCAGACACGAACAATACAATTACGTCTAATTTCCCAGAATTGTAGTTTTATATTCATTTTTCTGGCTACGTCTATTTTGTTTGAGGTCTAATTTCCTAGGCGCCATGAAAAATTAATGCGGTGGGATTAAAACGCTAAGTATGAGAAATCAAAGCGTTGGTATTCAAAATGACACAAAAACAGGCCGAAACTCATTGAAACAATTATCCAAAGCAGGAAGGTTTTGCTTAGCAAAATAGTACATGTAGAGCCGGGTCTCGAACTAGTGACCATTAATGACTGAGGAGTTTTTCATTTTACAAGGGAAAAGCAGCACTCTGCAATAAAAATTCACACAACAAAACTATATCTGGGATCTATTAAATCTGGAAAAAACTCCCAAAACGGATCTCCAGATAAAAATAAACTGGCGTTGACAACAGGGCCATCTTGACTTGCTGTACCAGGCGTCAGTGAATGCTCTTCAATTCAGAAATTATAACACATGCTGCTGCGCGATATAATAGCGCAGAAACGCTTATCGCTTAAATAGCGTTAAAAAAACGTTGTACAAAAACTGTGTGAAGAAAAATGCGAATTACCGAAGAAAACTGCAAAAAAGGGGGAAAAAGTCTAGCTTGTGGCTGAATTACTCTTGCTGCTCATAAGCGTTAGCCAATCATTAAGATACTGATTGAAAACAAAATTAATTTTTTGTAGTTGTAACAAAATTTAATAACTATCAATGTATAATCAAATCATGAAATTGGAACTAACTCTCTCGGCATAACTGTAGGTCCACTTGCGATTAGATACAAAGGATCTCCTATTATATCGGACATCACCAAATTAACAACAGTCGATCCCTCCGGCACAAACGCCAATAATTGTCCACCTTTTACTTTCGATAACGCACTTCTGACTGTATTCAATTGCTGGATTGAGGCGCCATTTTTACTCATTTGTTTGATCACTTCCAGCTTTTCTGATTGGCCAATTTCATCTGCTGGCAAAGACAACAGAGCCGATCCTCCTCCCGAAATCAGAACAATAATTACAGGAGGTGAAGGCCAAGTTGAAGTGTTGATTAAACTTTTAATCACGTTTTCAGTCGCTGACATCGAGTTTTGGTCGGGAATGTTTTCAGGCGCAGCCGGGAAAAATTTGAAATCTATTGAAGAGGAAATGTTCGATGAATTACAGATGTTTTCAATTTCTGTCAGCGCTTCAGATGCTTCCATTAAAGAGGCGGGATATATCGCTTGAATCGCTTTGATTTTCCGTATAAATTGTCTAAAGAAGGTTCAGATTCAAATAGTATTTTTTGAATGAAATGTCATTAAATTATAATTCGCCAGGTTTATATTTTATTGGTGGATAAACTAAGTCAGCTGCTGAAAATTCATAGCTCGTTTCCTTTTTTTTTACAAATTTTAAATTTCAATAAATATGAATAAGGGTTGCTAAAAAATGTCCAGGATCAGAATCAGTTGTAAAATCTTACGTGGGCACTTCCCGCAGCAGAGAATAAGTCATCGCCAAAGAAGCTTTCCCAAACGCAAGTACAAATACGCCTCTGTTCTCTATAATGTCAACATTAACGCGCTGGCTTAACCCTGCCTCAATTGAGAGCTTTCCGAGGTCGTATTTCAATAAACCATTCGAAAAAACCGAAGCAGGTTTCACCGATGCGACGGCTGTGTCGAATAAGGCACGAAGATGTCGCATTAGTAATTTAACTGAAATGGCAGTCAGTTTTGACACCCATGCAGGCATGGAAGTCAAATACATATTATTTTGAAGGACTGAATCATTTAGTTTGACGTATTTAAACGGGTTACGATACAGTTAAAATAATTATTAAGGAATCGACAATTTTCTAAAGATGGAAAACTTTTAAAAGTCTGCATGGTAACACGAGCTGCATGTGTATGAACTCCTTAAATTTGTCTTACAATCAGTAGCAGGATTACATTGAAACTTTTTTAATGAGCTTTTTGTATTTGGTAAATCACGTATATCACAAGAAGGTCAACTTTAATTTTGATGAAAGTTCCTAACTTTAAAACCAAAAAATCGAAGAGTTTAACTCGTTGCAGAGGAGCTTAGCTATTCAACTTCTTATTTGGACAAAGTTCCTTAATTCCGGAATGTTTCAATCAAAATTTTAATTCAGATATTCAACGACTTGTCCCCGAAAGTCGCGATTTGTTTTATTAAGCAAAGAAAAGCTGACATATATTACCTAAATGCAAGGATAGTAAGGGCAAATGACAGATTGGAAGTGGCTGCATGTTTAAAATTGTTTGAACTTTTTTAAATGGTTTTCAAAGCGTCTTCGGCGTTTCGAAAACCACACTTGGGCTTGCTCGCTGGTTACTGCCGCTGGGGCTCAGTTAGGTGACCGCTTATACCTCAATCATTTCTACTGATGTTAAGGAGGCTTCAAAAGATGGGAGTTAGTTTCACCGATGCGACGGCTGTGTCGAATAAAGCACGAAGATGTCGTATTAGTAATTTAACTGAAATGGCAGTCATTTTTGACACCCATGCAGGCATGGAAGTCAAAAACATAATATTTTGAAGGACTGAAGCATTTAGTTTGACGTATTTAAACGGGTTACGATACAATTAAAACAATTATTGATTATAATACAATATAAAGCAGAATCTTGCCAAATCCTTTGCCAATGGAATGCAAACCTTGTAAGAATCTTGCAAGATGAAAGCAGGATGTATGAATTCCAACAAAAAGTTTTTTTTGCAAACGTACAGATAATTTCCGATGAAATGAAGCCAGTTTAATTAAACCTGGCCAGAACCCTTTTTTCTTTTATTCCATTCATATTCCCAAAAATTTAACTTCACTTTTGAAACAAACAAAACTATTTGCACCAATTTCATTTTCCTTATCCAAGAGCGCAATTCAATCTCTTGTTGGAAATGAACTGATTCAAAATTTAAAAAAAAACCTCATTTAGCAAATTTTATTTCCTAAATCACAATACTTATTCAACGATAACATTCATCCAAAGGAAAAATTTGCCAGTTACTGTGAAACTAGTTGTGAGAATAGTTATAAGCGTTATTTGATGTAGATTATATTTCAAATCCAATAAAAAAGAACTTCATGTCAATTTTATTTAACATCAAATGAAAAAGAATTCAAATAAAAAAAAAAGAATTTCAAGCTTCTTGTTACTTGCTGAAAGCCAGAAGAAAAGTTTCTGTTCAAATTTTCCAAGTATTCAGGAGCATTTTGAGAAAAAAAACTGAAAGAGCAGAAATGGAAGGGCTCAATACCCACGCCATCGAAATTTTCACTGAAGAAAAACTCGAACTCATAAAAACAACATCGGAACCATACGTTTCTTCCCCACACCCGGAAAAGCTCAATCAAAGGTGATAAGGGTATTATTACTCAGCCAAGAGCAAGTAATGCAGGAGGGTGATGATTCAATTGAAAAAATGTAACTTTAATCGAAGAGCTACCATCGTAAGTTTAAGAAATTTTAACAGTTTTGGTTTACAAACCTGCTGACACTGACAAATTCTGCTTTGTTTAACAGTTTGAAAATGTTCTTGACACAAGATCTGCGAAAAATAATCGAGTTACATTATACGGTGATTTTGGTTTACTTAAAACTAACAATCTTTCTTTGAAGTATAATGATTCTATAAAAGTTGACGGCTTCGATCACCTCATCAACCATCGAGTCGATGAGGAAAAACATGTGATACGCTCCTGGACCACGTTATAGTGAAAGACGTTAACGTAAAAAAGGCATATACGCTTGAAAATCAAAGCTTCTCTAACCACTTGCTCATTATGTTAGAGCTTAATATCACAACTTCACAAATGCAACTTTCAAATTCTTATCGTGACACAAGTTTTCGAAAATCTGAAGCTCAAATCCAATACTTTATTTTCGCTTTAAAGCTTGAATTACAGAAAATTAAATTGTTTGAATGTACAGCGTCAGTTAATGAGTTGTTCGAAGAATTTCAATCGAAATACGATTATATTTTGGATAAATATGCACCGTTGAGAATAACGAAAAACAAAAACAAAACGTTAATTGCCCCTGGTTGTGCGATGGTATAAAAAAGTGAATATCCAAGCGCAACCGACTTGATAAAGCTTGGTCAAAAGCAAAATAACATTGGAGCAAGATTTCGTTTTGAATCTGCCAGGAGTAAAATTCAATTTGAAATCAAAAAACGTTAAAATATTACTAAACCAATTTCAAAAAATGCATTGGTGACTCAAGGATAAAATTTACTAAATGAATCAAAGAGTGGAGCAAATACATCTATTCGAACATTACTTTCGCTAAATGGAAGTGGTGACGACGTTGTTAGCGGCAAACTAACTCGCAATTGAGTTCAATTATTGTTTTTCCTCTATTGGGAGTCATTTAGCTAATCACATTACTAAATTAGAATCCGGTTAACGTCATTTTGAGTTTCACTTTTGCATGCGTTTAAATTCAATTACCGAGTCTGAAGCTTAAGTAACTCTTACTGTGCTACAAAAAAGTGTCTTCTGGAAAAGATGGAGCAAGTAATCTAATCGCTAAGGCTAGTTCATACGCCATTGTTCCCTTCTTGAAAAAACTCATTGAGCTACCTTTAAATCAGAATGTTTTCCTGCCGCTCTGGCTCAAGCAACAGTATATCTTCTATATAAAGCAGTATTGAAACTGGCTGTTATTAAATATCGACCAATATCACTTGCAATAACGGTCTTGTCAACACCAGAATCTCAACCCAAGCCCACGATTGAAGCTCGCAAATCAACAAAATCCCTGAATAGTTTTCCGCGGTTGTACTGTATGAATAAGTTATAAATATAATTACCGACAAAGAGACCATGACTCAGACACCGATTAATGTACTCGGTGAGAAAAACCTTCTCGCCGAAAAAACCAGCTAAAAGCAACGTCAACCAGTAGACATTAAATCTTTAGCTCCTATTTACAAAATTGGTGTTTTCAAATATTGGCAGTATCGTGCTTTGAAAATGATGTGTTTTGAAAAGATGATCCAAAGCTGAATATCCACCAAGGCATGACCATACAACTCATCTCACAAAAGCAGTTGTATAAACTCGTCTTTCGAAAGCGCAAAATTCTTCATATTCAATTCACGCCAATCGCACTTCATTATTCAAAATCAAAAGTAACGGATGGTTGATAAATCGAAGCTCGTGTGGTACAGTTTCATCAATTTAATCAGGTTCATCAAACTGAAGGATTCCGACTGTAATTCCGTCCTGGGTACATGTTTCTCTTTCCATTATAACAAGTTTTGAGAGGATTTTTAAAATTTCGAGCATTTTGTAAGTGAGTATCATAAGAACAACGATATTTCTTGAATTAATAGTTTAAGTTTTTATCATAGAGGCGAACTTGCACTTCGCATTCACAAGCAAAAATATGACTGATAACGCTACTGGGAAAAATTGAATGAGTAAAACTTTGATTCTTCATAATTTCTAAAATGACACACGCCAATTAACAGTCTACAGAACTGCTAAAGGACGCCAGCTAATTATGACGCATTAGCAGTACCAGTAAATTTGAAAAAAGAAATTTACGAACTAAAATGCTTAAATTTATAGACGGGGCGCATTTTAGTGTATGAAAAATTCAATAAAAAATATCCGACCTGCCCAGGTTCGAGCCCTCTTATTTCGTTGCGGGTCTCCTTCCCTACCTATACGCAACAGATCCATGATACCTTGAAGCTAAAGTGCTATTCGAATATAATAGTCTTGTTCATTATCCTTTGGCTGTATCAATAGCTGGTTATTAATCTCATGCACATACAGCAACAAAAACACTTTTAAAATGACCACTAATACTTGCGACTTATATTGAAAAAAGAGGGTTCATACTATCACACAAGCTTTGCTTGTGTAATCAGACTAAGGGATCTCCAATTGCTTGACTGCGATGAATCCAAACTCCAGGCAAAGAACCAACCTTCAAAAGAATAGAGAACACTGAACGTACAAAAAGTGTCTCAATTTACTCAAAATCGTTGTAGATTACAACAAAAAATTTATCTGTTTTATCTTTTTTTGTTTGAACAGTACATCTCGATAAAAATCACGAGATCACCCTGCAAGGTATTCAATTCAGTTTAACTGAGAACCAGCCTTCGGTCTGAAAACGCACAAAATGTCATTATAAAATTTTCTCTGTTTTTTTTTGCGAGCGTCCACACTGCTGTACAGCATATAACGAAAGGAAAGTCATAATCATCATTGTCACCTGTAGCAATGTTAGTTCGAAAATTGAGTACACAAAACTGCTATATCAGTCAGACTGTCATTGGTCTATTTGGTACTATCTCGCAGTTAGGCTAATTTTTTCTATTTTACCTGAATCTACTATATCGCGTTTCAAAACTTCAAATTCGGTTCTGGTGTCAATGATTTCTGGTTTCGATAAAAAACAAGGTTTTCACTGGCAAAACTTTAAAAATAAAACCTGTTTTTTGTGTTTTGCAGTTGGTAACTAAAAACATACATTAATTATGAACACTGTCGAAATTGAAAACCTGTATCTTAACATTTTTTAATTTCATAAAAAACACTGTTTAAGTGCAAAAGTATAAAAATGTTCGATGTGACTATTGAATAACATGATCAGCAGTTCAATGAGAATTTGATCAAACAATTTTCTCAAATGACGCATCATATTCAAGATGTTTTTCCAAAAAAAAGACATTCGATTGTATTGAGAGAACAGCACATACAGTCAAAACAAAATTTCGAAAAAAAAATCTACAAATTTGCAAAATTATAGAAAAGCTCTTAAAGCCTTTAAAATGAACCCAGTTACATCAACAATTATCAAATATGAAGCTAAGACGCAATGTTAGGGTAGCTGAAGCAGAGCAGCAAAAATTAAATAAAAGTAGAGATGCCTGTTGGTGAAAAAAAAACAAACAATATTTCATAATTTTCAAAACATTTTTTATTACCAGAAACGACCTGATTCTTAGATATCGTGCAAAAACCGCCAAATAACTTCGTAGACAAAACAATCGAGTCAAAATTTAAAAAGAAAGATTTCGGAAAGCTATAAACTTATTTTAGACTTAGAAAAATTTTAGACATTTAAACAAAACGCTGTGCCATTACCAGGATTGGATTTAAAAAGAAAGCGCTCAAATAAAATTATTATACTTAGTTACAATAAGCTAACTACATACTCTATCAGAACAAAAATAATGCATTCGAAAGAAACAGAAAATGAATTTAAAAAATCTAACAAAAAATCGCATCCAAGTTTTTTTATTTTCAAACCAACTCAAGTGTGTACGAAAAGGTGTTTAAAAACTTGTATACAAAAGGTTTTGGCTGTGTTATTTTCATCAAAATGAATTAAACAAATAACTGAACAGAAGTTTCTAGAAAAACTCAACCAAAATTGCCATTTAAGCAAAAACTGCTTAAAATAAATTGCTAAGCTGGTAAATATGCCGACAAAAATTGAGCCGAAATCAATTAGGCCTTCAAAAAAAAACAACTTTACATCTGCAGTTTTTTCAACAATAGATACAGTACTGCCTTAACTCTTCAACGTGCAACGTTCTGAAAATGGAGATCTTGATATTGGAGATGATCCTATGAACAAAGTTCTAAGCGGGAGAATATCTGGTAGCTGATTGCGAGACCCTTGATTATCACATGTGTAAAGAATTAAAAATAGTTATCTTCACCCAAGACATTCTGGACAGGAAACTAATTTTGTGAGGAACAAAGAGCTTATGAAGAAGGCCCACCTAAATTTCAAAGTCGCAATAGTATGTTTGGGCCAACTTAAGCGCTATCTGAAAGAGCACCAGTGTTGAAGCTGACAGAAGTTCATTCCTTAAAAGATCATAAATCGCAAAAGCATCATGTATGGTAAGTTTTTGACGTTTTTTGAACTATACCTTTTTCTTGGAGTTCATTACGGAATGTTGAACTATGGTATGCCTCAATATAACTGATTTCAACGCGACCATCATTTTCTCACATTTTACTCTTCTGTTCAGTTACTTCTCTGCCATCGTTATTATTACGCAGTCACCGTTTTATTACGAATTTAAAATCGTTTATATGTGGACCTTTCAGATTTCATCCAAGCGTTATTTCATGCTGACATTGAAAAGCGTTCAATCCTTTTTTAAGCGATATTTTGAGATAAGTCCGTGGAAAAGAACTTTACCACAAACTGTTTTGGCAAAACGCATGAAGCTGAACCCAATGTGAGACTCGAGGTGAAGCCATTTGAAAACAGTGGCGGCACATTCGTATTTATCAACAGATCCTAATTACCAACAGATGAGCTTGAGCATGAAAGAACTTTCTGAGACACTCTCAACATCAGCTGCAAGGACATGTTGAGCCACAACCTACTATGAGCTATGACACTGGTCGATTCATCGACACTGTGATCGACCTTACTTCAATTTTGCTAAAATAATAACTTTTAATTTAGCTTTGAGGCCTGGCGAACGAGCGGCGGGCGCGGGGAAGGAAAAACAACCCAATCCAAGTGTGATTGTACTCAATTTGGAAATATTCATGAAAAATTATCAAAGAAACAAATCACACTCCAAACAAATGAATTGAAGAAAAGCGGCGGATCATTACTCAAAAATTGAGTTCGGATTATGAAGTTTTGAGATTGATCAAATCCCTGCCGTATTGTAGTCGTGCTATTATACTTAGCAGTCGATACATATTGAGGAAAGTATATAACTACCGGTGATTTGTTTAGAGTGTTACTTTTGCATGTATGAGATCAACGTATGTTTGTTATAAACAGAGGCGAAGCGGACCTTCGCACCACTTGCGATACCACACAGAGAAATAGCACTGTGAGTTACCACACAAAAGATGAAACAAGGCCAATAAATCAGAAAAATCATACTGAAATTTCATAATTTTGTCTCGAATGATAATCAATTTGGGGAAAACACGTCTAGCAACCAAAACTCCGAACAATTTTTTGAGCGAATACTTAGCACAGAAAAATTGGTAAGCTCCTGTTGAGTAGAAAACAAAATTATTGTCATTTTCGAGTTCTGAAAATCTAAGATTTTTCCTTTTTGTGTTTCTGCAGAGAGGAGCGTAGATATTGATTTTACATCAAACGACGCAAAAAGGGTCATTAAGCCGATACAAAATAAATGAAAATCATTTAGGCCGAGAGAAGCTTAGATCCCAAAAAGAAAATATACAAAGCCTGGGGTAGTAGATCTACAAAATATAGGGTTAACTCAGAAACACTTGCATCTACAATGAAAATCCCTCGCAGCACAAGTAAATTCCGATGTGGGACAAATTTTTTGAAGTTGAGAATTTCAGTTGAAAAAAAAACAGGTCCTGCTCCGACTCGAACCAAGACATTCCGAACTTAAGAGGCCGACAATTTTTTTGATGTGAAAATTTTGAGTTGATGTGACAATTGAGTCGCAGATGATAAATTGAATTTATAATATAAAGCAACCACGTGGTTCTGTTAAACTAAATGTGAACCCGGAAAAATCTATATTCCGATTTCATACCGCTGGCTACTTGCACCCAAAACACATTTCAACCAATTTCAATTATAACTGATTTTACACAAAAAAAAACTTCAATTCGGAATGCACTTTCCTCAAGCGAAAACATTTTGAATATCAATCTGAGCACAGAGAAAGAAAAATGGCTGACAGGCTGTTAGGTAAATGACCAACTACTTCAAACAAAACTCAGTATCTTCCCTTTCAGTTTTAATCGTGACCTTCACACTTCGAGGATCTTGTGCGTCTCTTCTGACGTTGATGCTGCCAGCCAGTTGGGCTCCCTTCTTAACATAGATTGGTTGTCTCAGCACAAACACAGTTTGTTTCCAGTGAGTCATAGTAGCCTTTGGACCAGTTGAAAACGACACTTCCTGCGGCAAAGCTTCAGTTTTTTTTTAAATAATCACGGTCAGTAAAATCGTTCCAAATAAGGAAAAACGATCAAGTTAGTGGTATGTTACGGGCACATGGCTGAAAATTAGAACCTAATTAAAAAGGTACCCGATACCGGGCACTTGACAGTTCCAGCGATTTGGGTTAATGCATTGTAAAATAAACTACATTTAGGCGGTGTAATAAATTTACATTCAAAAGAATTTGCTGTGAACACGCTAGGCATTGATTTTTATTTCAAAGTCAACTACCTAAAATAATAATCTGAACTCAATTTGAGCTGATTGATTTTGTCTGCCAAAAAATCATATGTATTATATCGTTATTTGTTTGATTTCTCATTTACAGGGAAGCAATGAAGATCGAACTCACTGGTTTGCACTCCTCAGATCCAGCTGTGTTTTCTTCTGTTTTATGATTGAAATTGGTATCGAAATAACCGCAAATAGCGTGCACAGTCGCATCTCGCTCAAGTTCAAGATAAAACTCCTTTTCAAAGTCAGTATATTCAATTGTCGCAGTTAAAGCATCGATAGCATTGATGCAGAAACTTTTTGAACAAACTCTTTCTCCTCTAACTTCAGTGACCAACGCGTTGTTTGCAACCATTTCTTGAATTGAGTTCATTTCGAAACCATATACATTTGTCCAAAATTTTGTATGTTTGTTGTACATACTATTGTCTTGAAGTGCGCATATCCACATGCTGTAATATCTAGGATAAATCTGAGGACTATAATTGTTAATCGATTTGATTTTGTCTCTTAGCGCTATAACTGAATCCAACATACATTCGTACAGTAGAAAATAACCCATCCATTCCGAAATTATAACATCGATTGTTAAGTCCATTCCAGCAAAATCAACATTTTCTGCTTTATCATTTATGACTTTAATGATACTTGCATAGTTATTTTCAGCTACCACTTTTCTGGCTAATTTTGCAATATTTGACTGGTCGATAGCCAAAACTTTGCGGGCTCCGGCGGATGCTGCAAAAAGGGAGAGAATTCCGGTACCACATCCGAGGTCTACGATTGTTCGGTCAGAAAACAGATCTGAGTTTTTCTTGATGAAGTCATGATAGCTGCTGGTTCGAACCTATACAAGATTTATCATAATCAAATCCAGTCACCCTAAGCGAAACCAACGTCAGATAAATTTGTAATTTCTTCAAAAAAACTTAACTATAACTGATTTTTTCATTGATAGGTGCTGTATAAAATAATTTCCAAAACAACGCGAAGGGTAACATGAATTATAAGGAAATAATAAAAAAAGATTTTACCGAGTCTTGAATCATTTCTTCGTGAATAGACAATGAGTCATACGAGTCAAAATATCCGCAATCCGGATCATCAGCTCCTGCTCCCACCTTTCCACTTCCTTTACTTGCCGAACTCATCTCAACATCCAAACACCCGCTGTCATCGTCAGTGAGATTTCTTACCAATTCACTTCTCCATTTCAATTTCAAATCAGATTCATGCAATAAGTCTTCAGTTGCTTTAAGCTCTCGTTTCAGTCGCACAACTTCGCCAATTAGTTTTTCTTTGTCATACCCGAGCAAAATGTCTCTTTCTTCGTCATCGAAAATTTGGTGCTTACCATTGACAACGAGCGCATTTGTATCCATTAATTCCTCTCTCTCGGGAAACTGTAGCGTTGTCACGTATTCTTCGAAGTCAAAGCACAAAAGCGGGTCGTCTTCTACCACTGGTTTCATCAAACTATCATCATTTTCAACTTTTTTAAACAATTCCAAAACCGCAGATACGACCTTTCCATTCTTACACAATGAATCAACATTCTTTCGGGCAAAGTTAATGAGCTTTACATAATTGATAAACGATTTCTCAAAACCTTCAAGGTAGAAAATGTCAAAATCATGCTCAATTGTGCAATGGTCGAAAAGCTTCAAAGGACAAGAAAAAGTATGTGAACAGAACAGGCATTTAATGTCCTGTTCAAACAACTGCATTTGAGGTTCTTCAAAAGTTTCTTCATCTTCATCTTCACTATTTACCGTATCATTTTCAGTCTTGTTCATATGATCTGACTCGCCATTTTCGAGTTTCGGATACTTCGGAGGAGAGCTATTTCCGTTCATAGCAATCCTGGAATAAGGGTTAGCAAACAACGGAGTACGCTTCATCAGTGCAAATATACAGCACAGAAAAAACAGGTCCAATTTTCTGGTAGCCATAGAAAAACGGCCGAATACGCACATTCGGCAGTTGGAAATCAAGGGGGCGGACCTGAACTTATACAACAACAGCACTGCTCGTATCACGGCAAAGCCTTGAATGTTCTGACTGCCGTTTATGTATCTGAAGTAGCTTCTGGAGAAAAATTGCTCTAATTTTTCCCAGCAACAATGATTTCTTCATAAATACTGCCCCACACACTGTGTTAAATATTAATTAATTTTAAACAACTCTTCTAGTAATTTGGAGAAAAAAACGTCTCTAAACTCAATTAGGCATGGTTTCAGAGCGGGATTAATTAGCCGCTAACAATTTATAGAACGAATATCACTCGTTATTTATCAAAACTGCAATTTTCAAACTATCATAGCTTTACTAGAATTAATCACTAGTAAATTTTGAGCTCAAGACATCAAAATCTTTGGGATGGAAGAAGAACTATGACCTTTGAAACTCTTCAAAATCGATCGTTTTTAAAGCTGGATAATATGTAAACACTATAATAAAACTGAACGCACAAATTGAACACAAAAATGTGCAACTCATCTTGCAAAAAAAACAATGAAACTTTGTTTGGCATCCCACCAAAGCAATCAAAAGCTAAAAATGACAGAAGTTGTCTTCAATGCTTTAAGAGTGATTGAAATCTTTCCTGACATTTAGCTGTCCAATTGAAACACCGTCACCTTTCGGCTGTCTCATCGTGTCAATATAACAACTGATTTAGTTGATTTGACAGGACTTATTGGTGATAGAACAGTTTCGAATCACACAACGTCAAAATACTGAGTATCCGTTTTTTTTTAACGAAAAAAAGAGCAAATTAAGAAAGTCGAGTGATCCAGGCAACAGCAAAAAACTGTTTAAAACGTCAGAATTTAGGTCCTATTGAGAGGCGAGCGAGTAGGTACCATTAATAAGCTTAATAAGGCTACCAGTTTTCGAAGCTTCATACAGCGCTTTCTCGGCAATAAAAGGTTTTCTTAAAAAAAATCTGCAAAAAAATTGATAAATCGTTTTTTATTGGAATTTAGCAACTTCGAGAAGCGTTTTGTTTTGACAACTGAAAGTAGCGCGGCACTACTTCTTCGTGTGTTTCAAGTTTTTCTTTACTTTTTTCCACGCAAAATCAGGAAGAAAAAATAACCATCGGAGTGGGTTGAAAAATTTATATAATATCAAGGACTTTTCGGTCGTGAGTCGAACAACATTTGAAATAAAATGTTCGAAAATGTTCTCTTTTGTGAAAAACCGGTTTGATTTTTTTGGTTTTTCCTATAATTTCAAGTAAACAATTTTTGTCTGAATAACAATAAGTTCCAGGTAAAAAAATGCCACCAATTTGTTGAGCACTTATTTGAGCAAGTTGGGTTGGAAAAACTGAGCTCGTAATATGTGACAACAGTCCAAAACTTACAACTACCAGCACTAAGTAAGTTTTTGTTTTGACCAAGCGCCCACTAGGCCAACTATACAATGGTAGACAGACGCCCACGAGCAGAAAACAAAAATCAACAAAAATTTTTGAGCGCCTAAAAGATTATTTACCAGTTTCAAAACTTACAACACAATCAAGCTGAATTCGACTCAAAAGAAAGCGACTAAGCCCACAAAATCAAAAAAATATTTAGGCCGATTAGGCCTTCAAGAAAAAAAACCAAAAAAAGGAAAATATAGAAAGTCAAGATTAATAAACTAGAAATTACAGAAAAAACAAAAACGATTGCAACTTCAACACAGAGGTGAAGCAGAGCTTCGCAACACTTGCGATGCAAAAACTTAATGCCTTACATGATAGTAAACGGAAAAAAGACAAAAGTCAATTAAAATTTCTAAAAAATCAAGTTGAAAAAATCACTTGAAAAAATTTAAAAACTACAGCTACAAAAACTTCACGTTTGTATTGAATGAAGCTGATAAACAACCATTAAAAATTGAAATTATTTACCGAGCGGCAACAAACTTTGGGTCGAAACCTGTTGAGCCGAAAACAAAACAATTGTCAAAAAAATTTTGTCAAGTTTTTAAAGTTTTTACGACCCATCGAACTAAAACACATAATCGCATACGTATATATTTTTTCCTCGAAATTACGCAAAATAAGTTGACTAAGTCGATATAAATAAATAAAAAAATATGCTTAAGAAACGAAAAAAAAGCTCTGAATCATGCTTCAATTTCAATTATAGTAAAAATTGTTTAAATTGGAACAAAACCCATGCGTTGAAAAGAATGCCAATTAAAAACACCTACCAGATAAAAAATAGCGGTTCAAAAAATAACGGAAAATTAACAGACAGAAACTAGGACAAAAACCACAAACTCGGAAAATTGAGTTTTCTTTTAAAACATAATTACAACCTGAAACAGCCTCTAACTAATTACTCCTAGTATGATAATAGTGTGTTTTGATTTTCAAGAAACAGCATTTCAGAGATGAATGAGTTCAGATGAATGAGTCCGGTGGACAAAGTTGTTTACGGGAAAAAAAGTCTAGTACCCGATTGCAAACCTTGTTTATCGCAAGGGTAAATGAAAATAGCTTACAGCTCAAGAAACAACTGTGATCTGTTAACTTATACGACAAAACATAAGCAGACAAAGGAAAATCCGACAATACAATTTTTCTCGAAGACTTTTCGATTTCTTGCATTCTGAAAAGAACAAAGTCAGGCCGGAAATACGATTCATCAAAAGGAAAAACTGCACGCTTTTTCCAAAATAAAAAATTTCAAACAAAAAAATGAAACCAAAAAATTACCAGTGCCGACGAAAATATCTATAATATCTCAGATATATAAGAGTTTATAAAATCAGATAAGCTTGAAGCCCGTAGCGGACAACCACGATCACTCTTAACTTACACTTTTCAAATGGAAAACTATCAAATTGTCAAAACGCATAGGCTTATGCCGAAATTGAACCACCCCGGACCGATGCCGCACTAAAACGTATGTTACCGCGGCGCCAAGTAGTATGCAGTATAATTTGCTTGTGGTTTATGAAATTTTTCAATACAATTTGCAAACATAGCCAACAGAGTTGGAAAAGAGGCAATGAACGCACTTAAGCAAAAAAATTGTCTTGTGTCTTGAAAACGCTTGAACTTTTTAAAATCAAAATTTAAAGTATACGTCCTTAAAGGTCTGAATTTCAAGAACAATTTTTTAGACTTTTTTTTGATAAATTAACCAAATTTGAGAAAACTATCAATAGATAATTCTTTATTCCCTGTGAAATCTGACAATTAAAATCCACTTTCTAAAGAAAAAACTACTTTAAATTATATTGACAAAACTTCGATGTATTAGATTCATCCACATTCATTTAGTTGAGGCTGTTTGAAGTCCTGCGGATAGTTCGACGGTCTGAGGAGCCGATATGGCCCGGTTGTAGAAAAAATACAACTAGAAATATGGAGAAGCAATAAGACTGTTTGAGAAAAAGCGTTAATGTTGAAATCTCATAATTTGTACCTTTACCATTCAAAAAGACCGGTTCAATAAACTTAGTTGTTGATCCGACCACTAAAAGCGTTTTTTTTTAAATTTCCACACCCATTTGTTTCAACAAAAAATCGTCGAGAGTGTTAGCAAATAATCGTCTAAAGTGGTCGAGTGATTTAAGTTCTTGCAGTCGTGATTCAACTCTATTTGAAAACTTTCAAAAAATTGCCAGGCTGTAAAAAACCGTTTTAACTTTTTTGATTGATTATTGATCTATTTTCAACAGCATAAAGCGAGCGAGCAAGCTTATAATACAGAAATACAACAAAAAAAACTTGGCTGTACTCCAAGAAAATTGAGTTTTTTAAGCGCCTTCTTGACAACCAAAAACCCTAAAGCCAAAAAAAAAACATTTAGAAAATTATCAATTTTTGTTTTCCATTTTTTGTTTTTGTTCCGACTTTCGTAACAAAAGTTACGGAATATTTGTGCTCGGGTGTTTTTTTTAGACAAATTTCGACTTTTTGACGAATTTTTTATATCATTCAAAAGGTATTGTTGTCCTGAGCTCAAATTCAAAAAGATATTTTACCTGTGCTCATTTTTCGTGAAGTTATGGGGGTTGAAATATTGCCATTTTGGAACAATTAACGCGCGCTATTAACGCGTAAGCGGAGATTTAATCCGTCTTAGAAATCATTGCAAATTGATTGAAGGAAGCTTATTTGCCATAATTGATTTGTTACTAGAAACTAAATCTATGACTTAGTACTTTATATGGCTTGAGGGGGGATGATTTTCACGAACTCCTCAAATTAACATTTAACAAATTTTATTTTATTACATTTAATTTTTGGCTGTTATTAATGCTCCATACTTAACGACAGTCGGAACATTGTGGGCTTCGCCCTAATGCGAGCAGTCTTGTTCAATTATGTTTTTGGTAAAAAAACGTTGTTTTTTACTCAAACTATAGAAGGTACTTAGGATCCCCCCCTATGGTACCTACTTAAGAATCTCACCCCTATAAATAAATACAGTAAATTCTGATCGACCTTTTTATCTACTTAACAATCTCCACCCTTCTTGAAAGGGGTGGGGATTGTAAAGTAGATCCTGTACTTATTTTCTAGGCTTTCGTTCAGATCCGCTGAATACTATCTGTATTACATGCACAGCAACGGCTATCCTTGTTTTTGTTTGTTATTGGTGATTTCAAACTATCAAAAAGCGGGCTGATCATTCGAAGCAACCTGCAAGCTCACAGATATTCAGGTTTCGATTGATTTCACAATCGGCAGAAAAAACTATTTGGATGAAAAATATAAACTTTAATGCTACATTTTAATTTCGGTAAACAAATCGTACAACTGCGGAATAAATCAGAATGTTCAAATAGGGATAATATTCTGGTATTTAGGCAATTTAAGGGTAATCAGTTCCCTGTGACTACATACAAATTAGATGATATCAATTGAGGCCCATTGCGTTCCACAATAACAGCCTGTTGAATTCATAATATCGCGGGTCTAAATTTAATTAAACAAAAGACAGATATTAATAATTTAAAGCAACGTGTTCACAAATTGTACATACAACAGCGTATTAGAGAGTATCATTGTCGTTCAAAGCTTGATCATTCGTGGCTGATTTTAGTTCAAACAATGGCCTTCGCTTCTGGTATGAATTCAGTCCAATATCTCACCAGCTAAAATAAGATAAGTATGATATTACAATAAATCCGATGGTTGATGTACAAGTAACAAAAAAGACGACACTAAATCAATTTTTTCAAATTCGTCAATATTCGTCAATTCTAATCATGCTTAAGCCCATTGAACAAGACGGGAGCGCTCAAAAAACATTAAAATGACGCATGTCTCTGTCAGTCTCTATCAAAAGATCAAATATTACTCACCGTTACAGGATGAAAAGCTCAAAATTGGTCCGTTTTATTTCGGATAAACTATGTAGACTTTATCCAATCTTACGCTTATTAATGATACCATGAATTTGTTGTTATTAAACAACAGAATCAACTAACAGTCTGTTGTGATTCTAGGAGTGTCTCTAGGTACTGAATGAGTTTGTTCTTGAACTCCTCCACCCGCTTCTCCTCAAACTGACCCAACTCCATCTTCAGATTCTCACTGATCTTTTCAAACTCGCTCTTCATCTGCGCAGAACTGATCTCCAACTAGAATAATACAAAACTTGCAAGTTTAGCAAAAACCTGCATGACAAAAAAGCAATTTTTCGACTTTTGATAAATGAACGCTAGTAATTGTACTTTGGAAAAAATACAATTTTTACTTTCATGGTATCTAAATTAAAAAATAAAGATGTATTTCCTTGTCTATTCAGCAACTACCGAGCAATCAACAGAGAAAATTCTCTTTTTAGTTTAGATAATTATCAGTTAGTTTTATTATCTTTTTACTTTAGATAATTATCTTTTAAATATTTTAGTTTGGATACCATGAAACCAGAAAAAAAACATATTTTTTGCTCCTAAGTACAAGTGGATAACCTTCATAAGCCCTAATAACTCCTATTCACCTGTGCAATCTCTGCCTTGACAACAGGGACTTTCTCTGTCCTGCCACTGACTTGCATTCTGCCCTCGCTCTCCTTCTTCTTCAGCAGATTGCTCTCCACCCCCTGCCACTCATGCCACTGTTTCGCCCTCTGTCCAAATGTCTCCCTCACTGCCTTCAACAGACCACAGTAGTCGCGAACCAACTCACCTGAAAAGAAGGAGAAACAAAACACTTCAGAATATTAAAAGAAAACTTTTAGTGAATCTAGCTCTAAATTCCACGGCTCCGAAACTATGTTTGTTTTCCACAAAACTTGCGGCTCCAAATTTCTGCTTAGTGATCACATTTGCTCTTTAATTAGGTGTATCCAGTTTCAATGAAAGGGTAGTCAATTCATATCACTAAACCGCCATTTATGAAACGACCCATACTACAGAGAAACAACTTGATCGGTCTATTCAACTCTAAAATAAAACCACCAAGACCAAATTTGAACCAACTCATTTCATAATAATGCGTAGACAGACGCCCACGAGCAGAAAACAAAAATCAACAAAAATTTTTGAGCGCCTAAAAGATTATTTACCAGTTTCAAAACTTACAACACAATCAAGCTGAATTCGACTCAAAAGAAAGCGACTAAGCCCACAAAATCAAAAAAATATTTAGGCCGATTAGGCCTTCAAGAAAAAAAACCAAAAAAAGGAAAATATAGAAAGTCAAGATTAATAAACTAGAAATTACAGAAAAAACAAAAACGATTGCAACTTCAACACAGAGGTGAAGCAGAGCTTCGCAACACTTGCGATGCAAAAACTTAATGCCTTACATGATAGTAAACGGAAAAAAGACAAAAGTCAATTAAAATTTCTAAAAAATCAAGTTGAAAAAATCACTTGAAAAAATTTAAAAACTACAGCTACAAAAACTTCACGTTTGTATTGAATGAAGCTGATAAACAACCATTAAAAATTGAAATTATTTACCGAGCGGCAACAAACTTTGGGTCGAAACCTGTTGAGCCGAAAACAAAACAATTGTCAAAAAAATTTTGTCAAGTTTTTAAAGTTTTTACGACCCATCGAACTAAAACACATAATCGCATACGTATATATTTTTTCCTCGAAATTACGCAAAATAAGTTGACTAAGTCGATATAAATAAATAAAAAAATATGCTTAAGAAACGAAAAAAAAGCTCTGAATCATGCTTCAATTTCAATTATAGTAAAAATTGTTTAAATTGGAACAAAACCCATGCGTTGAAAAGAATGCCAATTAAAAACACCTACCAGATAAAAAATAGCGGTTCAAAAAATAACGGAAAATTAACAGACAGAAACTAGGACAAAAACCACAAACTCGGAAAATTGAGTTTTCTTTTAAAACATAATTACAACCTGAAACAGCCTCTAACTAATTACTCCTAGTATGATAATAGTGTGTTTTGATTTTCAAGAAACAGCATTTCAGAGATGAATGAGTTCAGATGAATGAGTCCGGTGGACAAAGTTGTTTACGGGAAAAAAAGTCTAGTACCCGATTGCAAACCTTGTTTATCGCAAGGGTAAATGAAAATAGCTTACAGCTCAAGAAACAACTGTGATCTGTTAACTTATACGACAAAACATAAGCAGACAAAGGAAAATCCGACAATACAATTTTTCTCGAAGACTTTTCGATTTCTTGCATTCTGAAAAGAACAAAGTCAGGCCGGAAATACGATTCATCAAAAGGAAAAACTGCACGCTTTTTCCAAAATAAAAAATTTCAAACAAAAAAATGAAACCAAAAAATTACCAGTGCCGACGAAAATATCTATAATATCTCAGATATATAAGAGTTTATAAAATCAGATAAGCTTGAAGCCCGTAGCGGACAACCACGATCACTCTTAACTTACACTTTTCAAATGGAAAACTATCAAATTGTCAAAACGCATAGGCTTATGCCGAAATTGAACCACCCCGGACCGATGCCGCACTAAAACGTATGTTACCGCGGCGCCAAGTAGTATGCAGTATAATTTGCTTGTGGTTTATGAAATTTTTCAATACAATTTGCAAACATAGCCAACAGAGTTGGAAAAGAGGCAATGAACGCACTTAAGCAAAAAAATTGTCTTGTGTCTTGAAAACGCTTGAACTTTTTAAAATCAAAATTTAAAGTATACGTCCTTAAAGGTCTGAATTTCAAGAACAATTTTTTAGACTTTTTTTTGATAAATTAACCAAATTTGAGAAAACTATCAATAGATAATTCTTTATTCCCTGTGAAATCTGACAATTAAAATCCACTTTCTAAAGAAAAAACTACTTTAAATTATATTGACAAAACTTCGATGTATTAGATTCATCCACATTCATTTAGTTGAGGCTGTTTGAAGTCCTGCGGATAGTTCGACGGTCTGAGGAGCCGATATGGCCCGGTTGTAGAAAAAATACAACTAGAAATATGGAGAAGCAATAAGACTGTTTGAGAAAAAGCGTTAATGTTGAAATCTCATAATTTGTACCTTTACCATTCAAAAAGACCGGTTCAATAAACTTAGTTGTTGATCCGACCACTAAAAGCGTTTTTTTTTAAATTTCCACACACATTTGTTTCAACAAAAAATCGTCGAGAGTGTTAGCAAATAATCGTCTAAAGTGGTCGAGTGATTTAAGTTCTTGCAGTCGTGATTCAACTCTATTTGAAAACTTTCAAAAAATTGCCAGGCTGTAAAAAACCGTTTTAACTTTTTTGATTGATTATTGATCTATTTTCAACAGCATAAAGCGAGCGAGCAAGCTTATAATACAGAAATACAACAAAAAAAACTTGGCTGTACTCCAAGAAAATTGAGTTTTTTAAGCGCCTTCTTGACAACCAAAAACCCTAAAGCCAAAAAAAAAACATTTAGAAAATTATCAATTTTTGTTTTCCATTTTTTGTTTTTGTTCCGACTTTCGTAACAAAAGTTACGGAATATTTGTGCTCGGGTGTTTTTTTTAGACAAATTTCGACTTTTTGACGAATTTTTTATATCATTCAAAAGGTATTGTTGTCCTGAGCTCAAATTCAAAAAGATATTTTACCTGTGCTCATTTTTCGTGAAGTTATGGGGGTTGAAATATTGCCATTTTGGAACAATTAACGCGCGCTATTAACGCGTAAGCGGAGATTTAATCCGTCTTAGAAATCATTGCAAATTGATTGAAGGAAGCTTATTTGCCATAATTGATTTGTTACTAGAAACTAAATCTATGACTTAGTACTTTATATGGCTTGAGGGGGGATGATTTTCACGAACTCCTCAAATTAACATTTAACAAATTTTATTTTATTACATTTAATTTTTGGCTGTTATTAATGCTCCATACTTAACGACAGTCGGAACATTGTGGGCTTCGCCCTAATGCGAGCAGTCTTGTTCAATTATGTTTTTGGTAAAAAAAACGTTGTTTTTTACTCAAACTATAGAAGGTACTTAGGATCCCCCCCTATGGTACCTACTTAAGAATCTCACCCCTATAAATAAATACAGTAAATTCTGATCGACCTTTTTATCTACTTAACAATCTCCACCCTTCTTGAAAGGGGTGGGGATTGTAAAGTAGATCCTGTACTTATTTTCTAGGCTTTCGTTCAGATCCGCTGAATACTATCTGTATTACATGCACAGCAACGGCTATCCTTGTTTTTGTTTGTTATTGGTGATTTCAAACTATCAAAAAGCGGGCTGATCATTCGAAGCAACCTGCAAGCTCACAGATATTCAGGTTTCGATTGATTTCACAATCGGCAGAAAAAACTATTTGGATGAAAAATATAAACTTTAATGCTACATTTTAATTTCGGTAAACAAATCGTACAACTGCGGAATAAATCAGAATGTTCAAATAGGGATAATATTCTGGTATTTAGGCAATTTAAGGGTAATCAGTTCCCTGTGACTACATACAAATTAGATGATATCAATTGAGGCCCATTGCGTTCCACAATAACAGCCTGTTGAATTCATAATATCGCGGGTCTAAATTTAATTAAACAAAAGACAGATATTAATAATTTAAAGCAACGTGTTCACAAATTGTACATACAACAGCGTATTAGAGAGTATCATTGTCGTTCAAAGCTTGATCATTCGTGGCTGATTTTAGTTCAAACAATGGCCTTCGCTTCTGGTATGAATTCAGTCCAATATCTCACCAGCTAAAATAAGATAAGTATGATATTACAATAAATCCGATGGTTGATGTACAAGTAACAAAAAAGACGACACTAAATCAATTTTTTCAAATTCGTCAATATTCGTCAATTCTAATCATGCTTAAGCCCATTGAACAAGACGGGAGCGCTCAAAAAACATTAAAATGACGCATGTCTCTGTCAGTCTCTATCAAAAGATCAAATATTACTCACCGTTACAGGATGAAAAGCTCAAAATTGGTCCGTTTTATTTCGGATAAACTATGTAGACTTTATCCAATCTTACGCTTATTAATGATACCATGAATTTGTTGTTATTAAACAACAGAATCAACTAACAGTCTGTTGTGATTCTAGGAGTGTCTCTAGGTACTGAATGAGTTTGTTCTTGAACTCCTCCACCCGCTTCTCCTCAAACTGACCCAACTCCATCTTCAGATTCTCACTGATCTTTTCAAACTCGCTCTTCATCTGCGCAGAACTGATCTCCAACTAGAATAATACAAAACTTGCAAGTTTAGCAAAAACCTGCATGACAAAAAAGCAATTTTTCGACTTTTGATAAATGAACGCTAGTAATTGTACTTTGGAAAAAATACAATTTTTACTTTCATGGTATCTAAATTAAAAAATAAAGATGTATTTCCTTGTCTATTCAGCAACTACCGAGCAATCAACAGAGAAAATTCTCTTTTTAGTTTAGATAATTATCAGTTAGTTTTATTATCTTTTTACTTTAGATAATTATCTTTTAAATATTTTAGTTTGGATACCATGAAACCAGAAAAAAAACATATTTTTTGCTCCTAAGTACAAGTGGATAACCTTCATAAGCCCTAATAACTCCTATTCACCTGTGCAATCTCTGCCTTGACAACAGGGACTTTCTCTGTCCTGCCACTGACTTGCATTCTGCCCTCGCTCTCCTTCTTCTTCAGCAGATTGCTCTCCACCCCCTGCCACTCATGCCACTGTTTCGCCCTCTGTCCAAATGTCTCCCTCACTGCCTTCAACAGACCACAGTAGTCGCGAACCAACTCACCTGAAAAGAAGGAGAAACAAAACACTTCAGAATATTAAAAGAAAACTTTTAGTGAATCTAGCTCTAAATTCCACGGCTCCGAAACTATGTTTGTTTTCCACAAAACTTGCGGCTCCAAATTTCTGCTTAGTGATCACATTTGCTCTTTAATTAGGTGTATCCAGTTTCAATGAAAGGGTAGTCAATTCATATCACTAAACCGCCATTTATGAAACGACCCATACTACAGAGAAACAACTTGATCGGTCTATTCAACTCTAAAATAAAACCACCAAGACCAAATTTGAACCAACTCATTTCATAATAATGCTCTTCGCACTACATCGCACGTTAACTTTTTTTCAACTCAGTTTTCCTGGAATAATAAAATTGCCAGTAATAATAAAATAACTCACAGAAGAGGTCGTAGTCGTGTTGTGACTGGTTGGCATGCAGATGTTCTATCCTCTCTTCCAGCTCACTCAGCTGACTCAACGCACGTGACAGCACAGTGTGCTCCTCAGTATTGCCCAACATGGCCACACTCTTCGCAAATGTCGCACTGTGCCCAGACAGATCTAGGCAAATAAAAAAAGTTGCAAAAAGAGATCTCTTCCATAGTTTGCCAGAATCAAAACATAGCCAGCAGACAGTTGGAAAAGAGTAATGCACGCAAGTAAACAGAAAAAAAAACAGTATTGAAAAAATGTCAACTTTCGAATTTCAATGAAAAGAATAGATGCCATTTGAGCTCTTCGAATTTCTGGAACAATTTATGATTGACGCTTTTTTGATAACATTAACCCACCTTGACGTTCGTATCTGGAGAGTGCTATTTACGTCACTTTCAGCAGATGAAAATCAATTGAACTCAAAAAGTGCATATATATCTAAGTGCATCAATATGTATGAATGCACATCTGTAGTTATGAGCATTATAAAACCTTATCCTGGAAAAACAAAAAATCACCAAGACCTATGTAAGAGTCTTCACTATGTTCAATACTCTTAAGAATCTTAACTTTCGAGTTTCACAGAAAAAACTATATGCCCTTAAAGCTCTTTGGATTTCTATAACAACTAGCAAGCCCGCCTCCAATAATCAATTGACTCGCCAAAAACTATGTCTTGTTCTGATCACGCTATCCAAGCAAAGAAACTTTGAACAATTTCAATTTAAGCCATATCGTAAATCGGTTTGAAAAACTTAAGGTTTCATAGCACGAATCTTTTCCCGAAAAATTGAAGTTTTTCTAAGCAAACTATTCAAGCCATGAAATGAAACATTTCGAGTTACTTCATCGAGCGAACTGGTTCGCAAAAGTTTCAAGTTTTTGTAAGCAAACGAATTAAAACATTTCCAACTTTTAAACATTTCAAAGTTATTACATAAGCTGATTTGGTTCACAAAAAGTACAAGTTTTTCGAAGCAAACTTTTCAGCTATGAAACTTTCAATAGTTCAAGTTAGTTCAAAATGTGAACCGGATGGCAAACTGTTTTTCTGTTGAAGCCTTCCAAATGATTTTCAGGATTTTTCTTAGTTTTGTAATTAAAATTTTTACGCGAGCTAATGGAGAAAAATCCAAGCTAAGTCTTAGACCGAATCTTTTTTGCCGAAAGTTGAAATTTTCCAAAACCAGCAATTCAAGCTAAGAACCTTTGAAATAAATCGAGATAATTAATGAAACAAAGCGGGTCACTAAAAACTTGTTCAAGCAAATTATTCGAAACTTAGAAGCTATTCAAAACTTTGTTAACTCTCACACTTCAATTTTTCGCCACCTGTTCAGTAAATTTTACAAAGTAATTCTGGGAAAACTTATAGAGCTATGCAAATTTGAAAAATTTCTTCCATAATTCGAGCAATACGCGAAAAGCTTCAAGTTTTTCAAAGCAAGCTTTTGAAGCTATCAAACTTTGAAATACTTCAAGTTATTTCAAAAACAAAATCAAATCGCTAATTTTTTTTGAAGCAATCTTATCAAGCTATGAAACTTTGAAAAAAAAGCAGGTTATTCCGTGGACTAAATCGGTTCGCGAAAAGTTTTAGTTTTTTTAAGCAAGCTTTTAAAGCTATGACACTTTGAATTATTTCAAGTTTTTCCATGTACTGAATCGGTTCGCGAAAAGCTTAAGTTTTTTGAAGCAAGCTAACCAAGCTATGAAACTTCGCTTAGTGAAAAAATTGTTTTTCTAAGCAAGCTATTGAAGCTATGAAACTTTGAATTACTTCAAGTTATTTCAAAAACAAAATCAAGTCGCGAAATTTTTATTGAAGCAAGCTTATCAAGTTATGAAACTTTGAAAAAAGCAGGTTATTCCGTGGACTAAATCGCTTCGCGAAAAGTTTTAGTTTTTCTAAGCAAGCTTTTAAAGCAGAAACTTTGGATTATTTCAAAATATTTCATAGATTAAATCGGTTTTCAGCTATGAAACGTTGAAATTTTATCAAGTTACTTCATACACTGAATCGGTTCGCGAAAAATTTAAATTTTTCCAAGCAAGCTTTTTAGAAAAGAAATTTTGGATTATTTCAATCTATTTCATAGATTGATTCAGTTTTAAGCTATGAAACGTTGAAATTTTATCAAGTTACTTCATCACTAAATCGGTTCGCAAAAAATTAAAGTTTTCCCCAGCAAGCTATGAAACGATGAAATATTTCTAATTACTTATAAGACCGAATCAGTTCGCAAAAATTTAAAAATTTTCTAAGCAAGGTTTCAATCCAAGAAACTTCAAAATATTAGAGGTTATTTCGTAGACTGAAACGGATCACGAAAAGCTTTAAGTTTTTTGAAGTAAGCTAATCAAGCTATGAAACTTTGCAACATTGCTTCCGGAAAAAATTGTTTTTCTAAGCAAGCTGTTAAAAGTTTCAGTTTTTCTAAGCAATTTTTTAAAGCTGAAACTTTGTATTAATTCAAACTATTGCATAGATTGAATCGGTTCGCGAAAAATTTAGGTTTTTCTAAGCAAGATTTTTACGCTATGAAACGTTGAAAATTTTTCAATTTACTTCATGCACCGAATCGGTTCGCGAAAATCTTAAAATTTTCTAAGCAAGCTTTTTAGACTAAAAATTTTGAAAAGACTCCAGTTATTTCTTGGACCAAATCAGTTCGCAAAAAGTTTCAGCTTTCCTAAGCATACTTTTAAAGCTATGAACCTTTGAAATAAATCGAGATATTTAATGAAAAAAGCGGGTCACTAAAAGTTTATAGAGCGATGCAAATTTGAAATATTTCTTCCATAATTCGAGCAATACGCGAAAAGCTTAAAAATTTTCAAAGCAAGCTAATCAAGCTAATAAAATCTGAATTCTTTCACATTATTTCATAGACTGAAACGAATCACGAAAAGCTTTAAGTTTTTTGAAGTAAGCTAATCAAGCTATGAAACTTTGAAAAAAGCAGGTTATTCCGTGGACTAAATCGGTTCGCGAAAAGTTTTAGTTTTTCTAAGCAAGCTTTTAAAGCTATGAAACTTTGACTTATTTCAAGTTTTTCCATGTACAGAATCGGTTCGCGAAAAGCTTAAGTTTTTTGAAGTAAGCTAATCAAGCTATGAAACTTTGCTTCGTGAAAAAAATGTTTTTCTAAGCAAGCTGTTAAAGCTACGAAACTTTGGATTATTTCAAACTATTTCATAGATTGAATAGGTGCTCGAGAAATTTTAATTTTTCTAAGCAAGACTTTTAAGCTATAAAACGTTGAAATTTTTTAATATATTAAATGAAATATTGAAAAATGACATATGATATATTTAAATGAAATATTGAATGAAAAAGGTGATATTTAATGAAACAGAGCGGGTCACTCAAAACTTGTTCCAGCAAGTTATTCGAAACTTTGAAGTTACTCAAAACTTCATGAACTGCGACACTTAAATTTTTTGCCACCTGTTCAGTCTATGATTTAACCTCGAAATTTTTCAAAGTATTTCTGGGAAAGCTTATAGAGCTATGCAAATTTGAAAAATTTCTTTCATAATTCGAGCAATACGCGAAAAGCTTAAAAGTTTTCTAGGCAAGCTAATCAAGCTAAAAAAAATCTGAATTCTTTCACGTTATTTCGTAGACCGAATCAATTTCTGAGCAAGGTTTAAAGCTATGAAACATTGAAAAATTGCAAGATAATTCATAGAGTGAATCAGTTCGTAAAAAGCTTCAAGTTTTTCGAAGCAAGCTAATCAAGCTATGGAACTTTGAAAAAATGCAGGTTATCTCGTTAACTAAGACGGTTCGCGAAAACTTTGAAGTTTTATAAGGAAGCTTTAAAAGCAAGGAAATTTTGAATTATTACAAGTTATTTCATAGACTGAAACGGATCACGAAAAGCTTTAAGTTTTTTGAAGTAAGCTAATCAAGCTATGAAACTTTGAAACGTCGCTTCGTGAAAAAATTGTTTTTCTAAGCAAGCTGTTAAAGCTACGAAACTTTAAATGTTTCAAGTTATTTGTGGGAACGAATCAATTCGCGAAAAATTCAGTTTTTCTAAGCAAGCTTTTAAAGCTGAAACTTTGTATTATTTCAAACTATTTCATAGATTGAATCGACGCTCGAGAAATTTAAGTTTTTCTAAGCAAGAATTTTAAGCTATGAAACGTTGAAATTTTATCAAGTTACTTCACAATCGGTTCGCGAAAAAAATTAAATTTTTCTGAGCAAGCTTTTAGGACAAGAAAATTTCAAAGGACTCCACTTATTTCTTGGACCGAGTCCGTTCCCGAAACATTTAAGTTTTTCTAAGCAAGCATTTAAGCAAGCAGTTTCAGTTTTTCAAAGCAAGCTATTGAAGCTATGAAATTTTGAAATACTTCAAGTTATTTCAAAAACCAAATCAATTCGCGAAGTTTTTTTCGAAGCAAGCTAATCAAGCTATGAAACTTTGAAAAAATGCAGGTTATTTCGTGGACTAAAACGGTTCGCGAAAACTTTGAAGTTTTGCAAGGAAGCTTTAAATGCTTTGATATTTTGAATTATTACAAGTTATTTCATAGACTGAAACGGATCACGAAAAGCTTCAAGTTTTTTGAGGTAAGCTAATCAAGCTATGAAACTTTGAAACTTCGCTTCGTGAAAAAATTGTTTTTCTAAGCAAGCTATTGAAGCTATGAAACTTTGAATTACTTCAAGTTATTTCAAAAACAAAATCAAATCGCGAAATTTTTTTTGAAGCAAGCTTATCAAGCTATGAAAAAAAGCAGGTTATTCCGTGGACTAAATCGGTTCGCGAAAAGTTTTAGTTTTTCTAGGCAAGCTTTTAAAGCAGAAATTTTGGATTATTTCAAAATATTTCATAGATTGAATCGGTTTTCAGCTATGAAACGTTGAAATTTTATCAAGTTACTTCATACACTGAATCGGTTCGCGAAAAATTTAAATTTTTCCAAGCAAGCTTTTTAGACTAGAAATTTTGGATCATTTCAATCTATTTCATAGATTGATTCGGTTTTAAGCTATGAAACGTTGAAATTTTATCAAGTTACTTCATCACTAAATCGGTTCGCAAAAAATTGAAGTTTTTCCCAGCAAGCTATGAAACGATGAAATATTTCCAATTACTTATAAAACC